CACATTCTGTGATTCCCTACTGTCACGTGACATGAATACAATGCCCACCTTGTGGAAGCAGAAAGCTCTAAAATTACTTTCTTGTGACCAGCCGGACCTTGGTGAAGGCAGAGGATAGTGGATCTCTTCCATCAGCATGGGACCCTCCCCACTCCCATGATCTGTGAGCATTGTGTCATTCATTGATACTCAGCAAACCCATTGGCTTCCTGCCATGTGCTAACTGGAGCCTGCTGTGCCCCATTGGTTTAAGGGTGGTAACTACTTCCTATGACATCTCCAGCAAATCAGAGGACATTGCATCAGGCACAGCTTCTCAAACCTTGGCCAATGTGTTATACGTTGTCTAGCTTTGCTCCAAGAGCTGCCTTTTGCTGACTGCTGCAATATTTTGGTAATGTGTGGTTCTTCTGTGTAACGCCAAGTTTAGTCACCTTTTATAAAGCATCTGGTCTGTAATGTTTACACATTCTTGCAGCACTGAGCCACTGCTGCAGCTTCTAAATTTTTTGCACAGAAGTTTAGGTAAAAGAGACCATGTGTAGATTTACAGTGTACCAAACTGTAGAGTTTTTGTTGTAAAGGACAAAGATCCCTTTGCTCTGTTGCCCATGGGGGCCCTAGGCCAAATTTGGCTCCAGAGGGGTATTGCTTGACTCCCTGTTGCCAGCCTCGAAGCTAAAGAAAATAGCATCTGGGATAACAAAATCTGCTGATGCAGCACTTCAGGGCCTGGCCAGAGAGAAATTCCTCTTGCTCAGGAGTCATCAAACTGAGGTCATAGGTCAAACCTGGCTCTGGAGAAGTGCTGCCTGGCTCTTTTCCAAATTAGTTGCTGAGAAAGTCTGTTGCACATTGGCAGACTGTGTAGTATGACCTACTTTCGTCTCTCCATTGTCAGCATCCTGTCCAGCTTCCTTCCAAATCCTATAGGAAGGAACCACAGCTATGCCGAAAGCCCAGCCCTTGAGGCCATGTTGCGTTAGTACTGAAATACTCACACAGCTAGGAAATCTTGCTTATGAATGCACAATACTTGGCTGAGAAACTGTGATCTTTCTGGCATCACTGGGGCAGCAGTGGGGGTGTGTGTGCAGGGATGCCTATCTTTACTCCACCTTTTGTTATCCAAATGTGAACTTGCTTCCCTTTGTGAATAGCCAGCACAATGCATACAGTGTTGTTGGCCACTGCTACTCAGGGGTAGTGCTGCATAGGTATTTGTGGCTGGGAACCATTTTGTGAGTTTGGCTTCTCTGAAACGGATGCAGTGAAAGGACAGGTTGGTGTGCAAGATTCAGCGTGAGAGTGGATGACAGAATGTTGTGAAGCAATTTTCAAGTTCAGTCTCAGGATCTGTATTGAAGGGACTAGCAATTAAGGCTTTAAAGGTATATCAGCTCCCCCCTCACCCACCCAGCATACCAGTAAGAATCACAGAATCATCAGGGCCAACTGCCTGCTGAGCGCAGTACACTAATTCACACAGATGACTGGACACTCAGATAACTGTCCAGATGCTTTTTGAATGTCTCTAGTGAGGGAGAACCCACAGTTTCCCCAGGTAATAGGTTCCATTGTTGTACTGCTCTGACAGTGAGGAAATTCTACCTGGTGTCCAGTCTAAATGTGGTTTCTTTTAACTTAAGTCCATTATTCTGTGTCCTGTACTCTGGAATGCGTGAGAAGAGATCTTGTCCTTCCTCATTCAGGTAGAATGCTATCATATCACCCCTCAGACTTCTTTTTTCTCTTCCAAGTAGTCACTTTGCATGTAAGGAGCATCACTGGGTGGGACCCACAAATTGAAACTGCTCCTATTAAACAGCCATAAGTAACAAGATGAAATAGAAAAGAACAAAATGTGTGGCAACCAGTCCTTAATACATATATTTGAGGCATTAACTACATTGAGTACAATGGAAATTACTTGCAAGTAAGATTGCAGAGTGCTGCAGGCATGCTTATACTTTCTGATCCTGAATTTCACACCATTTAAATTCCAGGGAAAGTATCAAGAATACAGTCTCCCTGAGCTGGGTGTCCTCCAGCTGTGGTGGACTATAACTCAGGTTGATAGGGGATTTTGTGAGTTGTAATCAAGAGGCCTGGAGAGTGCTGGGTTGTGGAGGCTGAAGGTGAGCATAAATTCTGCAATGATTTGCTTTGTAGGGGTTGAATACAGTAGCATACGAGGAACAAATCAAAAAAAGGAAACATTAAAAGAATCTGTGCACAATGATAAATTACTGCTGACTTTAGACTTTTGCCCATGCATAATCAAATAGCTTGTTTTCTCACAGGTGAAGTAGTGATGATCTTTGTTTTTTTGTCTCAGGAGTATGGAGATACTTAATGAAGGGTTCTGTTTAAGAAAGTGCTGAGATTGTTCAACCATAACAGTTCATGGTCCGTGCATAACAACGCAGACATTCCTAGTCCATGTCCTGGCTTGTTGATATTTTTCCTTTGCAAAAGGTGGTGGAAATGATGACAAGTATTTTTCTGTAACACCACCCTGTCCATAGCACAGTGAGTTGCCTTCATCAAACAGAAGCTGAAACTTTAAGAGGTAACCAATAGTGGTATTGCTAAGTAAAGGTGACAGCATAATTTCAGCTGTAGTAATGTCACTGCAAACAGGACTGAATGAGATATTATTAAAGTGGCATTTGATTGACGGTCTTACCATTCTGCACTAAAATTATGTCCAAATGGATTGGATGCATGTAAAACATCATTATTACTGCATTGCATTTATATGCTGCCTTTCCCCCCCTCTTACAAGGAATCAGAGGTGACTTATGTAGCCTGCTTTCACTTCATTTTATCCTCGCAACAACATCCCTGCTAGGTAGACAAGACTGAGAGTGAGTGACTGGTCCGGGCTCTCTCAGTGTTCTTCATGGCCAAGTGGGGAATAGAAGCCCCATCTGCAGGTTGCCATCCCAACACTTTGACCATCACACTACACTGTAAACATAAGGTCTGCAGAAATGCCATAGCAGAAGCATTCTCAAGTAGCATCAGGCTGTCATAGTGATTTACCTGTATGCGTTGGTGGAATCTGCAAAGCACCCATGATGAGCCGGACATATGATTTGGCTTGTCATGGGTGTGGCACTCCTTTTACCTTCCTTTCTCCTTGTTTCACTTGGTGGTATCACAGAGAACACTGCAGGAGTAAGAAATCCCCTCTCTCTGGCAGCTACAATCACAAGCCAATTCCTTATTGTTGTGACTATCCCTTTAAATTTTTCCCTCTAGGATTGTGAAAGCTAGCCAAGAGCCAGTTTTAGCAATCTCCTGGAGGGGCTGGCACAGGCAACTCCTTCAAAGGACCTAGTGGCATCTTGATGGGCCTTCCCATGCATGCCTTCTATGATTTATACTTTATTTTACACCTGCAAATGGGCACAGAGTCAGCTCTTTTTTCTTCTTTATCCATGTCACACAATCAGGGCTCATTCCCTTGGAGCAACTTCCAGCTTCAGCTGGGACAAGTGGTCAGCGCCCTGCAGAGGCTGGAACAGTGGCTCTTTGATGTTGCTGCCACCAGCTCAAAGCACTTGGTGGGGATGGCAGGGACCTGGTGGTTGCTTTCTCCTGCTGGCAGTTTCAAAAGCTTGGGGGATGGCAGGGAGCAAGAGAAGCCTTTACTGGGGTACTTTGGGGTAACTGTAAGCTGTACTAATGGGTTGGCTGCTTGGCAATGGCAGGAAGGGGATTTTGTGGCCCTTGCCAAGCAGCTTGCTTGTTATGAAGCTTAACCCATGATGGATCACGTCATCTGGGTTCAAATGATACATGCCATCATGGGTCAAACAATACCCAGAATTTTGCCAACCACAATAAGATCCAGGTTTTGCTTAACCACAGGTAGGTTTGTGTGACATGACAGCCAACCAATTGCACAGCCAGTGGTTGGTTGTCATGCCATATAAACTCTCCAAACAATCTGTGTCTGGGTGGAAGAGGGTTTGGCCAGAGGAAGGGGGCATAGCTATCTGAGGAAACTCGGAGACTCAGATTGGGACCCAGGCAGGTAGGCAGGCTAGCCAGATTTGGTCCCCATGCCTAAGGTTCTGAACGCTTGTTCTGGGGCACACTTGCATGGAGGATTTGAAATGAGTTGAAAGCCCATCTGAGATGTGTACACACTCCAGTGTTCTGTATGTACTATAGAAATATCTTTACAATGTTTAAAGACCACACAGATGTCTCTCTTGTCTTCAAATTGTCTTGGGCTTATCATGATCATCAGGCATTATTTTCTAACAAGGGTACACACTTTGTTATATTGCAGTGTTCATGGATGTACACACCGATCATCCTCGACCTGGTGTTTTCTAGATGCCTTAAACTGTGGCTCCCAGGATTCCTCAGCATTGGCTATGCTGGCTGGGGATGACAGGAGTTGAAGTTGAAAACATTTTATGGGAACAGTGATTGGGAAGGCTGGTGTGTACACCAATGAACATGTGTGCAGGGAAAATGTCATATGTGAAGTGATCTATACAGTGTTACATACTGATGTTAGCTGAAATGTCATGTGTGAATTCACCTGGATTTTGAGTATAGGCCACTGGGAACTTCTCTTGGCCAAGCTGTGAAGAACTGTACCTTTGATGGAATTGGTGTTTATTTCTAGAAGTGTCTTTTCTGCTTTCATTTTCTCTTCAAAGATTACTTTTATCATTGGTGCTGCTATAATTGAAGTTCTTCTGCAGTCTAAATTTCCTGCCGTGTGTGTGTATGTGAGTGTGTGTGTGTTTGAAAAGTCCACAGTGGGTGGGTTTCTTTTCCTGTCTGGAACATCAAAGGTGATTGAACTACAAAGATTCCCTACTCTGGAAATTATGCTTTGAAGTAACTCCCTAGTAATGGCCACCTGGAGATGCTGCCTCAGAAATCTGTGTGTGATCCTATTGCAATTGAACTGTGTTTCCTGCACTTCCTGGATATCACTTGTTTTAATTTTTTCCCTTTTTCCTCTGCAGGGATTATGAATCGCTTTCTAAGGAGAATGTATATGAGAACAACCGCCTGGTGAGTCTCTACCTTTTGTCTTCACCACCCATTACTTCACTTAATTCTGGTGCTTTCCTGGCTCAAGCTGCTCTTAGTAATTCTACAAAAAAATCTTGGTTCCTACTTGCTCAGGTGTCCAGAAATCCAATACTGGCCCCAAGGTATTTGAAATTTATTTCCATTCCTGCCTTGGAGCATGGTTGCTTTTGACAACACGCTTTTCTTGAATCTGACTGCTGTTTTCTTTTTACACAATGCCCAAATTACAGAAAAGCCTGCCACCTTTACCCTCCGATTTTTGCTAGACAATTACATGATTTGGCTGAAATTTGGAAGAGTTGGGGGTTAGGACTTGTAAGCACCACTAAACTCCCCTCCCCTATATCTGTTCCCCCATAATTCAAGCACTGTGTGCACCTCAGAGTCATCTAAGGTAATTTGACTGTCCGTAGAGATAATTGGGAAGGATCTGCTTGTCTGCCACCATCTTGGAGCATTAAACAAACCAGTGCTAAGAGAAACATGGAACTGCAAGTGTGTGAAGAATATTTTGGCTCAGTAAAGTGTAGCCTGCTAAGCCAAGTGCATGGAGATCGTGGAATCAGAATCCATAGGAAAGTGATGTTCCTGGCATGCAAAAGGTCTGGGCACAGTCCATGAGGCCTCCATTAAAATGTGGATCTTGGATAGGGCTGGGATATAACTTTGCCTGACACTGTGGAGTGCAGCCACCAATGAGAAAATTTATTAGCATATCTGCTAAAATGTTACCAAGGTGGTATACAGTTAAATCTTAAAATAACACAAGGACCTTAAAACCTTTAAATAACATTGAATGATGAAACTGCATATTTGAAAAGCCTAAATCGAAAAGAGAGGCCTTCACCACTAGGTTTCTAAAACCAAGAGAGTGAGAGGACAATTGTAGTTGTTGAGGGAGTGTGTTCCATGGTGTGCAGGCAACACAGGAGAAAGCCCGCTCGTGCAATAAACAGGCTTTGGTCAAAGGTGCTTCACAAAGGGCCTCCTCTGCAGATCGCAAGACCCAGGAAAGTTCATGGTAAGACAGGCAGACTCTTAGATGGTCCTAAGCCGTTAGGGTTTCAGAGGTTAAAATCAATACCCAAACAATGGAAAAACAGGACAGATCTCTCAAGACAGGTATTATATATCTAGTCCTGATATCGTTAGCAGCCCAGTTGCCACATTTTGCACGAATTTGAAGCTTGGCCATTCTGCTAGTTACTCTAGCCTACCTTTCCTGACTCCAGAAGTGTTGGTATACAACTCCCATCTTCCCTAGCCAGCCAATACATCTGGATGGGAGGGGAGCGCAAACCATCCCAGGCTAGAAAACAGGTTTCTAAGCCACATGCTAAAATGTTATGCTACAAGCATGCATGCTTGTAGGAAGGACAGCACCAACAAAATGTCCCAGGAGCCAGATGGAGACTGAGCTTCCTGATGCCTGTGCCTCAGTATAACTGCCAGGTGGAGTGTTATCTATTGGGCGCAAGAGCTGTAGATGGACAGGCACACAGACACATTGGCTTGGCTCTTTGGCAGTGTTAGCCACCCTTTACCAGCAGGGTGCCTTCCAGATATTTTAGCTGTGCGTTCTGGGGATGAGGATGTAGGAAGCTGCCTTATACTGAGTCAAACATGGATTGTTCTACCCCAGTATTGTTAAGATGGGACTGATAGCTCTCCAAGGTTTCAGAATAGGGCTTTCCTAGCCCCACCTGCAGATGCCAGGGATCACACATGGGACCTTCAGCATGCAGAGCACAAGCTCTGCTCCTGAGCTATGGCTGCTCACCTGCATAGTCCAGAACATCTGGAGGGGATCTAGTTGAGAATGTCTAACATAAACAGTTCAGGGGGCAGGTGGTAGTGCATCGGTCAGAGCTGTTGTCTGTCTTTTCAGTGGGCAGCACTCCTGCACCCCTCTGTGTTTCCTGAAGTAGTTCCTGGGATGAAGAAGACCATTGATGGCAGTAGGAATGTTGTACTTCCTGAAATTGTGTTAGGAATGCTTTAGGGGAAGCACACCATCAGGAGGAGGAAGAGCCTTCCTTCCTGGTCTGACTTGGAAGCAGTATGGATAAAAATCAATGACAGCACTAGTGTGTGATGTTTAAATTAAACATCCTAAGTCTTTTTAATAGTTTGGTTAAAATTAAAGCTGGGAACAAGCATGTCAAGGGTACACATAACTTCTTAAAGATGAATCAGTGGCTGTCTTACCAATGTCACTGACTTAAAAGGCTGTGTAAGTTAGTGTAAATGAAGAACCACAAGGAAACATCTTTTTGACATTGAACATTATAAGTAAGGCTCACTAGAAGAACATAATAAATAGAGCAGTAAAGCATAAAATATGGCACAATAAGTTTAAATACTATAGTTAATTGATTGTATGGCATAAAAGCCTGCATTGTTATTATGGGATGGATGTTAGGCAAATGGGACTGGCAGAACATTGGAGGCACTGGGGTTTAGCGCCTGGCTCCAGAAGTTGCCAGCCTTGTGTTTCTCTTGGGAGATCATCCCCAAGGTCCTTCTGGGTGGCCTCTTAAGACTCCTGTTTTGATGCTTCCCAAACACTGACGTTTGTTCACATCTCAAATAATGGCCATCCACATGGTGTAAAAGCATGATCCCTTTTTATATTATGAAAAGTCATAGTATTGCTCAGTAAGTAGCTGACTGTTTCTTGGAGAATTTTGACCTACTTCCTTGTCTCTAGGCTGACAAGAGAGGCATGTGCAGGACACATGGACTATGATGAGCAAATGTTTTGGATTGTTAGCCGGGTGGTACTTTTGGGGTGAGGGTGGAATTGGGCCAAGGCAAGGCAAGGCATATAGGCTATATGTGAGAAATAGAATGAAAAGGGAAAGCACCCAATACTGAGAAAAGGAAGGGAGAATATTGTTCAAGGTGTAGCTTTGTGTGTGCACGTATTTATTCTAATGCTTTGCTACAGAATAAAACATTCATGGCTTTTGTGGCCCACCAGAAAACCCCTATTTGTTCTAAGCTGGTGCCCTCCTGATGTGTTGGACTACAACTCCCATGAGCCCCATCCAGCATGGCCATTGTAGTCCAACATAACAGGGGGGTACTAAGCAGATGGGGTAGAGCCTGTTACAGTTGTACAAGTTTACCGTTGTAGATAATGTGATTTGGGGTGGACAACTTGTGACTCTCTAGATATTTTGGCCTTCAACTCCCATCATCCCTTACCGTTGGTTTCGCTAGCTAGGACTTTTGTAGGCTGAAACAACTGGAGGGCCTTAGTTTCCCCTCTAGTTTTATATATCCTAACTCTATATTATCAAGATATAATGGCCAGATTTATTAATAAATGTATACCACTGATTTAAATCAGTTAAATCTGGTATCTCACTCTTATCTCTACAGCCATTTTTGGCAATTTGTTAGAGACTCTGGGTTAAGGCCTTGAATCATCTCAATTTTCCAAGCTAGTTTGTTAGCATAACTGGTTGTCTGCCAGGATTTCTGTGGCCAGAAACATTTTTATTTTAAACATTGTTTATATTGTGTGTATGTAACAAAATGAAATAGGATTTTTTTTCCAGCCAAGTAACCATCAAACCATGCTTTGGCCTATTTATTGCTCCTAACAGGGCATTTTTGTTTGCAACTTTGCTTTTGTGAGGGTAAAACTAGACCAAGACACAGAAAGAGAAAGGAACAATACTGGAAAGAAAATTGTCCAGCTAGCATCTTTTTTATTTCTCCTATTAAGGTTGCAATTCTGTACCCACTTATCTGAGAGTAAATCCCATAGAACACAATGGAATTTATTTCTGTTTTGATTATTTATTTCATGTCAAACATTATTTCACATATTTAGGATTGGTTTAGGAAAAGATGCAAAGTCTGCTTGGAAGAATGAAACAGTGAAAATCCCTTTTGCACCATTATTCAGAAATGCATGAAAAGTATTAAAATGAAAATGGATTTAAATTACTGATTTAAATTTATCCTTTCCTCGGCTTTATTTCTTTAATTATTGATCAATAATTTAAATTACTTTGATTGAATTCAATTGACCGGCTCGCTCCCTTGCATTAGAAAAGGAACAAGTTTAGATTCCCAGTGGACCTCATTCTATGCAGAGTAGTAGATTTCATGTTTGCACAGCAAACATGCTGACCCAAACATGCAGCCCAGCCTAACAGGCTCACCACAGCAGCAGCAGAATGTGCTTTGATTTCCTCCTGTGGCCTATCTAAGATAACCAAGCAACCGTAAATAATAACCTTGGCTGGGTAGATTATCATTGATGTAATTGCAAAGGTCTGGATAGAGATGGACTAGTTCTTACATAGTCCTTTATGGTTCTTTTCTGATGGAAAACAACTCAGCAAACAAAATAGGGGGTTCCTGCGTTTCATGTGTGCAAATATTCAGGTATTTTTTTCAGAGTCTCCAGTGGAGAGATTGCCTTGATCTCAGCACGAATGCACCACATTTATGCCATGCTTAAATCCCTGTCCAAGACCGCATGACCCTTAGAAAGCTGAAAAGATAAATTTTTGTCTGTGAAAAAATCTGTAGCAGGGAGATCTCCCAGTTGTACCCTTCTCCATGTATTTATATATTTAATATGCATCTGTTTCTAGTTTTGTATATTTCATATTGTTGTCATGTTCTGTGGAAGCTGCTTTTGATGATGTAAAAAAGGTTTTACAACTGGAAATAAATAGAAATAATATATACAAACCACACTGTGATTTATGGTTTTATATCTGCAAAGGCCAGGCATTCTCTAACAGAGATAAGGTGACTCATATAAGGTCTGTGGTGCAGCTGAGAGTTGGTCATAGTGCCTCATGCTGTCCAATGATCCATGTTGGGAACAAATATAGCACTTTATTTCTATTATTTCTGCCATATTCTTTGACCATACTAATTGTTCATGACTGGAAAAAATTCACCTAGCCTTAGTCACTTTGTTTTGTCCATATTTAACCAGTATTGGTGCATTATTACTGCTAGCCACTTCTCAGCTTAAGTATGTCTAATTTGTACAGCATTTTTCTGAACTTTTCTTATTTTCCTGTGCTCACTGGGAGCATTTGAACTTGGGTCTTCCCAGTGATAGTCTCAGCCTCACCCTCTAATCCTGCCTTCCCCAGCCTCGTGCCTTTGAGATGTGTTGGTCCACAGTGCCTTTAGAGTGCCTTCTAGCAGTGTGCATGTGTTTGTATATGCATTGTATGTGCATCATCATCATCACTGAAATAATGGTGGCATTAGATGGAATCAGTAGTGCTGACCCTCTGAGTATGATTGATTGATAGAGAAGCTGGGACAAACACAAAGAGAACTACAGGGGCAAGCTGGCAAGATGTCCTGCTCCCAGATGATTAGAGGATATGCACAAGAAGCCTTTAGTTTCTGAGAGTTCTTCATTCATGAGGGCTAGAAACTTGCCCAGAAAATAGAAAACCAGCAATTAGATGGACTTGTCAGGAAGAACATCTGAACAGAAAACCAAAGAAAACAGGCATGGTGCTATATTAGAGGCAGGCAGTAGAAAAGAGGTGATATGAGGGCAGAAGAAAGTCCGAGCTGGCCTTCTGCTGGGTTTCCTTTTTTCCTCTTTCATTGCCGCATCCCTCCTTTTGATCCACCGTGTGTGTGTACATGTGTGCTTGTCTGCATCCCTCTGGCTTCCTAATTGTTCTTCTGCTGCTTTTGCAGGCATTTGAGATAGCTGAGCAGGAACTGGGGATCCCCGCCCTGCTGGATCCCAGCGACATGGTCTCCATGAAGGTCCCTGACTGTCTCAGCATCATGACTTATGTCTCCCAGTATTACAACCATTTTAACAACCCCAGCCAAGGTGAGAGCTCTTCTGTACTACGGGGTGGACCCTCTGCACTTTTCTGGTGTAGGGCCACTGGCTGCTTTCCCTCCCAAGAAACTAGGAATTCACAAAGTATCCATGAAGTTGCTCACTCTGGCAAGCTTCCTTCCATAGATGCGAGGAACCTCTGCTCACTTCTAGAGCTTGGAGTGGGTGGGGGGAATGTGGGAAATGGACCTTGAGCAGCTGAGACTGAAAATCCAATCAGTTCACTTCTCCCATCCCTGATTTTATTTTATTTTATTTTATTTAAAACTTTTGTACCCTGTCCTATACATAAAAGTCTCAGGATGGTCCAACAACAAAGGCACAGGGTAATATCTTTAGTAAAAACCTGACTAAAATAAACAATTAAATTTTAAAATAATGGGAACATAAAAAGGTTTTGGTCTGGTGCTGAAAAGAATGAAGTGTCAGTGCCAGGAAACTAAACTAAACTATATAACCAAACTAACATGAATGATAATTTGCTTACCGTTTGGGACACCCAAAATCAGTTGCTTGAGGAGGCTGCCTTACTTTGTCTAATGCCAGGCTCAGTTCTGAGTTGGGTGGATATGGAAGGTCAGGGATGAACCCTTTAGACACATTAAGTGGGTGGGGATGGGTGGGCAGAAACTCAAACCACTGCCAAAATACAGTGCAATAGGGACAATTCCTCAGCCACCTTTGACTGTGGAGCTGAGGAGGACAGTGGAAGATTATCCTTGAGCTCCTGGTTTTTGAATTTCAGCATGCTCTGTCATCATTTTCGGCTCCCCGCATAAAATAACTTAGCTTACCAGAGACCCTGTGTGCATTCTCACCATCACACCTCCCCCTCACTGAAGACCTGTGGCACACTCAGAGGGTTTGAAGGAGAGGATTCTGCCATTTTGCACTATATACGAAAACAGAGAGAAACTGTGGGAGGTACTCATGCCTTCTCTTATGTGCAGTGTGTTGGCAGCACAGGCAGAAAATGTCTGCTGCTGAGTCTTCAGAGGGCAAGGATGGCTGCTTGCCCATGGCAAGTAGTTCTGTTAAGTCTGTGCTTATATTAGTTTCTTTATTTTATTAAACATGTATCAGTTGCCCTGTAGCAGGAGTGCAGGACTGCTTTCAGTCCGAAAGCTAGAGTCTTCTTTAGCTGATCTCTTGTGGGCCAAATTCCAGGTAAATGGGGCAGGCCCAAACCCCATATATAAGCCATCCTGTTTTAGCTTAAGACTTTTTCTTGGCCTGAGTGTAAGAAACCAGATAGGTCCATTGCGTCTTGAAAAATTAGCTGATTTTCCCCTCTAGAATTGCAAAAACTTAGGACTGGACACCCTCCTTTCCCCAGATGCCAATACAGTGGTACCTTGGTTCATGAACGCTTTGGCTCATGAACAAATCGGGTCATGAACAAAAATTACTGAAAAATTTTTACTTGGGTCGCAAACACTGCTTTGGGTGGTGACCAAGATCGCAGTTCCATTCGTGCAGGGAAGGCGTCTGTGTCCAGAGGCACGCCGCTGCAGTACAGGCGGGTGCAGCGAAGCAGAGCCGTGGGGCAGATTGCTGAGAATCCACTTGTCATTCGTGCAGCCGTGCACCTCTGATCACGGATCACAGTTGCTTTCATGCAGGAAAGCCGGGAGCAGCAAAGCAGAACCACAGGAGACGTGGCTGAGATTCTGCCTGTCTTTCCTGCAGGAGTGCGCCTCTGATCAGGCACACCTTCCCTGCACGAACGGAACGGCGATCGAGGCTATCTCCCCACACCCAGCGCACCATTTGCGCCCATCTCTCCCTCCCCAGTGCGCCTGCAATCATGCCCGTCTCTCCCCCCCACCCCCCAGTGTGCTGGGATGACGGGTGCCTGCAGGGATGACAGGTGCAATCTCAGTTGTGCTGGGGGAGGGGGGGGCAGGGAGATGGCTGTGCTTGTGCTTGGGGGGTGGGGTGAGATGACCTCGATCTTTGTTGTTGTGACTTTGCTTCACATTTTTCTGATTTAAAAAATGGTTACAGAACGGATTAAACTTATTTACATTGAACCTTATGGGGAAATTTAACTTGGCTCAGGACCAATTTGGGTCACGACCAGAGTCCTGGAATGGATTAAGTTGATGAGCCAAGGTACCATGGTAGTTTGCTGGTTTCCCAGCTTTGGTGCAGTTTCTCATCTCCAATCGGAAGGTACAAATGCCTTTCCCAAGTCTTAGCTCCTGGCATTAGAGCTTTGAGCTAAAATAGGCTGTCATTCTTGGTCTGAATTCCATTTTTCTCTGCCTTAGCAGCCAAGGTCCCTCCATCGATGAAGCGCCCGCTGGTTGCCTCCTCGCCGACTCTGGCAGCCCACAGGCCTGTGACTGCTTCTGGGATGACATCAGTAGCCCAGGTACCTAGTCTGCCAAATAGTGGAGCTCATTTGATCTGTCAGATCTCACTAACCTCCTTCTGGTCCAAAGCTTCTGAATTGGCACTCTCCAAAAGAGAATGATTTGAAGTGGATGATTTATCACCCCCTCCTCTTCTTGGTCTACTCAGCTATGAAGCATGTATGAGCCCTTGCCTTGACTGACTGGTGGATTATTTATACATATATGCCATGTATAGCCTGCCCTTTACAAAGCAATCCCAGGGAGCATCACAGGACACACTGACCTGGCTGGAATGATTACTATGGGTTGAACAAGCCATTTGCCTAATCACCCGCTTGGGAGCAGCTTGCTGTGACATCCAAACTTTGCTAGAGGGGGAAACAACCCTCCAATAAACTACTAACTGCCCCTGGGTTTGGACACCATGACAAGCTTTACCTATGCAGATGCTTAGGCAAATAGTGCTCAGGATATAAGTCATAATGTCTCGTATAACTTGCAATTTTCCTCTGAACTGCTCTGTGATGTCATCACAAAAATAATTCCTAATAATAATGCAGATCAATCAGACAGTGTCAAAAATTCCATACATAGCTGGATTGGGACTCAGGAGATCTGAGTTCTAGTCTGCACTGGGCCCTGAAGCTCCCTGAGTGACTTGGGCCAGTCCTTGACTCTCAGCCTAATATTCCTTACAGGGTTGTGGTGAAGATAAATTGGAAAGTAAGATAATGTAACCAGCCTTGGGTTCCTCTCAGGAAAAATGGGGATAAAGCAATAAATAAATAGGACCAACCATCTAGTCAAAAAATCTTTTGGGAAAAATGTTATTTGTTTTTACCTGGCGTTCCACACCCCAGCTGTGCTACCACCTGAGAGGGCCCTGTTCTGGAAGGCTGGACTTTGACAGGTATAACCAGAGGTGCCTTTCCAGCAGATAGCAGATGAGCTGGATATTTTTTTTACCATGGTAGTGTTTGTATTTCTTCTGTGCTTGGCTCAGGGATATATATATTTTTCAAGAAAGAGGGTGCAGACAGTGTTTGTGTCACCCACGTGTGTTGATCATGTTGCCTGCTAGGCTAAACACAGCTGTTGTGCCATATACAATAGATCACTAGGGCCTTAGTTACCCAGGTATAGAGATCTGTGGTTATTCCTACTATTTTAGGGCGTGTTTAAGATATGTACATATTGATGATTGTGTGGTTACATTTTTTGGAGGGAGAGGGTTGGTTGTCATGGAGTCAGTGGCAGAAATTCTGCCCAGAGCAAATAGCAGACATGTAAACCTGGTCATGTAGATTCTGTTAAATATATTTACCCAGGCTGAAAAGATTATACATGTTTGGACAGGATTGGAAGGTTGTACTTTCTGCCTTCACTTTGGCAACCAGCACAAGAAGGGGGACATGTGCTAAAGATGCTGTCATCTGTCTCCAACCTGGCACCTTCCAGATGTGTAGGGCTATGATTCTCCCCATCCCCAGCAAGCATACCCAGCTGTGCTGGCTGAGAATGAGAGTTGTAGTTTAATACACATCTGGAGAGTACTGGGTTCAAGTACTCTACTTCATTCGTTCCAGGACTGGATGGGAACCAATGTATCTTCTTAAGAGCTGGTCCAAGGAATACTGGATAGGTTGCTTCTTCATATGTTGTTATATAGTCTGGATATAACAGTTAGACCCAGTGGATGAATGAGATTTGAGTAAGTCACATTAAACTCTGAGGCTAATTTATCATAACGAGTGCATGAATCACTTTGACTCTGGAGACATTTTCTTTTCAACGCTTGTTGTCTCAGGATGATGTTTCTGAAGGCTTAGCAGAGCGGTCCCAGAGGACCACCCTTAGCAGCACTTGTGCAGCTTGCCAAAAACATGTTCATCTGGTTCAGCGCTACCTGGCTGAAGGCAGACTCTACCACCGTCAGTGCTTCAGGTGAGCTCTTCGAACCCAAGTCTATTGCACCTGTTCTCTCATAGCCCACCTTTCTTTATGAGGCATGGTCTTCTAATTGTGCCAAGCCCTCTTCGAGCAAAATATGAAATGCCATTTCAAGAGAGAGAGAGAGGACCTAAGGGTCTACGCAACTGAGAAACCAAGAAGTTAAGTGACTTTGCCCAGCATCTTGCAAAGCTGTGAACTAGATTTTTTTTCCTCTTGTGATGATGAGGCCACATTACTTGCTGCTAATGCACTTTGCATTTCTGACAGGTGTAAGGAATGCTCCAGCACACTTCTCCCTGGATCCTACAAGCCTGGACCCGAACTGGGCACCTTTGTGTGTACTGAGCATTGTGGCAAACTGGGCCTCAGTGTGAGAAGAGAGCGCAGGCCAAGTCCAGATCTTCAGCATGTCAGAGAACTCCAAGGGACTGAGGGAATGAGTACTTGCACGGAGGAAGAGAATGGAGTACTGGAGAGCTGCCCATCGGCCACAGAACAGAAGGGAAAAATGGGGGAGAGAGCAGCTGATGGAGATGAGTCACAGACTGAGATGCCTCTTTCCCAGCCTAGGAGTGAAATGCTCAGTTCAACTCCCAGCACTGAACCTTGCTCCCAGATGCCATCCAGGCCTCCGTTGCCAGCCAAACCAGCCATGCTCATCCAGGAAAAAGGTAGCCAGCAATTTGGGCAGCTCAAGGAGACCAGACCCACCCCTGCCCCTCGGAAGAGCACAGACACTACAGCCCTCTCGCCCCCAAACTCCCACCCTGTTCCAAGGCCCAGAGCCAACGTGCAGAGCGAGGGCTCCAGTGAGCCAGCATCCAGCCTGGTCAATGGTAAGGAGGCACCAAACAGATGTGTGATTTCAGGGACAAACAAGCAGTGCCCTGAGTCAGCCTTCCTCACCTTAGCATCCGCCGGGTATGTTGGACTGCAGTTTCCATCATTGCCAGGCTGACTGGCAATAATAGGAATTGCGGTTGAACACATTGGAAGAGCACCAAATTGGGGAAGGCTGGCTTCGAGGCTATTTGCATGGGAATGGCAGCCCCCGGAAAAAGCTGGTTTGTGATGCCATAGAGCCAAGTGCAATGTATAGCAAATAGGGCACATGCACTCATGACATGGAGCTTCTGTACATTTAGGGCAACTTCTGCTGCTACTGGCTGGGGGATGCTGGGAATTGTAGTCCATATGTGAAAGGCACCAGTTGCAAAAAGGCCAGCCTATGTGTTTAAGTGCTAAGGATTGGGGAAGCGGACTGGATGCCTTCACCAGTCTTTTTCTCTCGAAAAGCATAAACTTACAACTGATCTGAGAGCCTGGGAAAATAAAAAAAGGTCTTTGCCTGCTACTGTCAAGACCATAATGCAGGCACCAGACAAGTGTGTGTGGGATGGACGTGGCATTCCACAGACAGGGAGTCACCACTGTAAAGACCCTGTCTCCCGTATTGGAGATGCTGGCAGTTGAACCTGGGATAGCAGGCATATGTTCTGTTGAATGAAATGCTCCTTTTTTGCTTCCGCAGCTCGCAGCTCGGGCCAGACACAAAGAAAGCCTCTTGCTGAGCATTCTTGAGTGGGATTTGCACTCTGTCATCTGACTGGGGCAGAGTTCAGGCCACATTCGGTTCAATCCACATTGTATCCACTGGCTGCTGTAACAGTGTCACACCCTTAGACAAAGCATTCCACTCTCAGGTTGCGTGCACTCTCACACACCCCTTCCTAGATTGTGGTCTGGTGTCCAGGGTGCTCTGTTTCTGTGCCCGCACAGCATCAGTTCTGTGCAGAAAACGATCAAAGCACGTTTATGTACACGGTGTCCTAGCAGTTAAAACCTCTAAGCAATCCCGTGGTTCAGATTTGGATAACAGACTCAGCAGCCTACAAGAGTTGCTGAGTGAACGCAGAAGTGGCAGGTGCGCCTTGGGCAGCACAGCCACCCTTTCCCACTTGTGCATGACAGCCTGTGAGTTATTCAGCCCATAGGAAGTCATGGCATGTGACCTGTTTCAGTCTGTTTCCTGTGTGATAGTTTATTCTTCTTACAAGGCCAACATCTTTGTTAAGGACTACTGTAGCCTTGTATATAAGCCCGCGGAAATGACTTATCTTGCAGCTGATTTGCCCCATAGCAAAAAGGCAGACTGGAAGAGGAGCAAGGTGATCTGTCCCCCTCCTGCACTCCATTATACATTTCCACACTGGTGATTGGAGGGGCAGGCTTGCCTGCCTCTGCCACTACCAGAAAAACCAGACTGGCTGGTTTAGGAGGGCTGCAAGGATCCCTCTTTGCTTAATCTGCTGGCTCATTTGCCTTAATCTGCATGGCAGTCGAGTGAGTTGCTGAATACAAAGTCAGGTTCATAGAATGGCTAGAAAAAGGGTCATGGAGGTTGAGGATGGCCGTGTCTTGGGCCTGAAATTCACAGCTAGGGTAGATAAAGAATTCCAAGACTGATATCTGAAGTTCCAGAAAACACTGCATGGGTACACTGCTCACCATGTGCTCTGCAGTTGGGACTACAGTTGCTATCATGCTGACTATGGTGGGGAGAATGATGGGAATTGCAGTCCAAGTTCTCTGGGGGGAGGGGTCCCAAGCTGGGGAAAGCTGGGATGGCTATTTTCTTTGAAGAATAATTTTTCACCATGTAATAGGCTTGGAAGTATCTCTTCAAGGCTGACACCTGCACTCTTCTTTATTTCTGGATTAGGCAGGCCTTCTGAGCTGTCTCCACCAGTTCCGAAACCCAGAGGCAGGCCCACATCCTCAGACCGGTATGTCCTGCTGCTTGTAAATGACATTTAGATCAAGAAGTGTTGACATCCCCCTCCAGCTCCCCTTCACCCTCTGCACACACAGTTTTGTTATCATCCAAACAAATTGCTCTTCAGAACTTGACCATGCTTTTTAAAGTTCAAGACTCACTGAGAACTTGTTCTGAGATAGTAATCCCATGTCTATTAAAGAGGGGATTCTGCTACTGTCTTAAATCCAGGGCATGCCAGGACTTTCCAGTCTGTGGAATTCATTTCAAAATACCAGTTACAGATTTCTGTGTATATGCTGACTTTTTGTTATACTGATTTGCACAACATGACAACTCACCATTGGGTTGACAAGCCATAGTGGGTTGTCATGTTATATGAACCTGTACTGTTTCTTGAAGAATAACTTGTTCTTAGGCAGTGATTCAGCTTGACAGCACATGGCTTGGCATGTCATTCATATCTGGGTGACGGATCCCATTGTGAATATGGGGGCGCCTTTTTCAAAAGCAGCACCAAAAGTACCCCTTTGCTGCTTTTGTTAAGCTTGTCCAGGTTACTAGCAGTCCCGGCTGACTTACCAGTGACCAAATTGCAAAGTGACTCATGGCTGGCTTGGTATCCCCTGCCAAGATTGCAAGCCTCTTTTTGTTCTCTGCAGTCCCACCCACCCCTTTCTTCCTTTTCTCATGCCTTTCAAAGATAAAGTTGATAGCAAGTGACTTCCCCTTCAAAGCACCCATATGGCCCACTGGAGGGGCTGTCACTAGCTTGCCATCTTCTTTTTATTGCTCCCCAACTGTGCACATTTTTTTTAAATTTTGTTTTAAAAAATTCTAGTTGCACTCACACAAGTGTGCACTGACAAACTTTCACAGATTCAATATGGGCATCCTTGCCTGGGGAATGTCTGCTGTAGCAGGCATTTACCAAGGCCGTCAACCAGAGATGGTGGAAAGAGGTTTAATTTTCACTTTGCTCTCCCTGACAGCTGTCAAAAGGCCAGCTATCATGTGTGGTCTTTGCTTGCAAAAGGGAGTGCCTAGTAGATCACCCCCTTTGTGATTTGTTCCTTGACTTTTGGAACTGGAAATGACTCTTTTCAGTGTCCTGCATCTTTTCCACCTGTTGTCAAGACTCTAGATGCTTGGGAAGCTGGAAGCTTAAGTGTTAAGTGTTTCCTCCTCCATGCAGAACTGGAGAATCTCCAAGGCCAAAAGACCCTCCATGGATTGTGTTGGTCCAGGGGGAGCCCAAAAAGAAGCCTGCTCCTCCGCCACCAAGCAGTAGCAAGGAGCCTCCAACAAGGACTTTGGAAGAGGACAAAGGCGGTGAAGAGGAAGTAGGGGAGGCTGAGAGAAGAGAAGGAAAGCCCACAGTGAGGGAGCCAAAGCCCTATAACCCCTTTGAGGATGATGATGAGGAGGAGGAGCAGAAATCAGTCATGCCACAGAGTACTGAAAAACAAGAGCCAGGAGAGAGCGAGGCCTCATCCAGGATTGCTCACCCCTGGTATGGCATCACCCCCACCAGCAGCCCCAAGATCAAGAAGCGGCCAGCTCCAAGGGCCCCCAGTGCCTCTCCGCTTGGTGAGTCCATCCTGCCTTGCAATAGGAAGTGCATTGGTCCTCTCAACCATCCATTCCACATGAATATTTCTGCATCGACTTCCCCACGATCCTGTTCTTGGGCAGTCCAGACCCCAGTTGCTGCTCTGTACTAGCAAATTTGTCTGTAATGAAACTGGGGCTTCTCTGCCTGATCTTGAAGGATTAAGGAGTTGGCAGATATTTTATGTGGTGTTCATAGTTTTGTTACAGTATTTTACTGCATGATAACTTTATTCTTATGTACCACCCTTAATGGATTTTATCCCTATAAATATCAATGATAATTATAATAGCTGAGGTTTTCCCTTGTTGCCATCACATTCTTACGATTTCTGTTCTGATGTTTCTGTGATTGTCCCTAAGGTCAGGAAGTTTCCACTCTGTTATATGATCATGAGGTGAAGGGGTGGTGATGGTTAGTTTTCCTCCTTCATTAAGGAGAGCCAGGGTATGTTAGCTCTAGGGACAGAATGCTGCTGAGTGTCAGGTTGTCCCTGATCCTGCTTCCTACTCCAGCTTCTTTGTATTTTAGAAAGCTAAGATATGCTCAAACCTGACAGATCTCCATTTTGTTGAAGGAAGGGAAATTGCCTATGATGATTTCTGTGTAGGAAAACTTATTTCTTAATTCATGCTTGCCTGATTCTCAGGACAAAACAACCTCAAAACAGAGGTTACATATTGAAAATAGCACCCACCCTGACCCCATGTGTGTTATTGTGTTGTGTGAACAATGCCACTGTAATTTAAATGGCTTAGAGACTGATGTGGGTGCAGGTGATCAAAGCATCATTCTGCCATGTGGCCCAAGGGTTAGACCAAATTGTTGTCCATCCCTAAATGGCCCTGGTGTCAGAGAGGCTCTGCAGAGAAGTGTTTGTCCATGCTGGGTGGGGGTGATGCGAGTGGGACGCACCTGGAGGACACATTGTCAGGGAAGGCTGGACTAGGTTCTCAGTTGCATCTTTCTTTTTGCAGTTCACCATCCCGTTTCCAGAATCTCCCACTCCGAGCCATCGTCTTCCACCCCATCCCCTGCCCTTAGCCTGGAGAGCATCACGTCTGAGTGTTTAGCCAAGGCTGCTGACAACCTGGAGGAGACCTCCGTGCCCAAGAGCTCCTCTGAGCCTATGGTCCACGCTCCAGCTGCTTCTGTTGTCGTCTCTTGCTCAGACCCTCCACTTGCCAGCGTGTCCTCCAGGGAGAGCCCTGCAGCTCTGCCCAGTGGTTCCACTGGCTCCTCCCTTTCATCATCCAGTGATTTGGCTGGTGATGGCCAAGAGGCACAGGGGAGGAATTTTCAGACTACACCAAGCTGCTCATCTGGGAATTTGGACGCCAGCCCTGGGCGAGTCTCCCCGAGGCTTCCCCCCAGTGCCACTCCCACTCCCATCCTCTTGGCTTCAGATCTGAGTGGCAGAGCTGCCACAAATTCTCCCTCACCCAAAGCACAGCCAAAGGTATGTTGGAGCCAGCTCCTTGGATTCCAAAGATGGGGGCCATCTTTCTTTCCTTTTCCTTCTCTTTCCAACGTTTTTCATCACACTTAATTTTCCAGGAAAGGATCTGGGGATGCCATTCCTACCTAAGATCTTTCAGGCCAGCCTTCCCCAACCTATTGCCCTCCCAGAATTCCTGGCAGGGGCTGTTGATCCTAGTGGGTGCCAGATCAGGGCTGGCTGTTTCATGTCATGCCCAACTACTTTGGGGGACCCATGAAACAAATGCTGGTTTAACTTCTTGACATTGTCTGGAATAACTTAGGCCACCCAACTGGGATCTTTCTATGCATGGATCCCTGTGCTGCATTCCATGTCAAGGTAAGAAATACAGCACTGAAGTATGAAGCATCTGTATTTCTTAAAACATTTTTGTTTCTGTATATGTGAATTTGTAGGCTTTTAAAAAAATGTATTTGATCAGATGTATTCAATTAACACTTAGTAGGGCTAGGGCTACCAGGGGCCAGATAAAATTGTGTCATGCCTGATCCAGCTGCAACTTGCCAGTTGGCTACCTCTTTTCAGTGCCATAGAATTATGTTGTTTTAAATTTACCATTTGCATAGCTGCTCTGCTGCAGTTCCTCTTGGTTCAACCATATATAGGCAACCACATCTGTGCAGAGTGACAATGCTCTCATGCATTAGCGATCTTGAATGGATCTACCCTTTGGCTACATGATGGGTACAGCAGGAAGCTTGAAAGCTTGGGGGCAATCTTGTGTATTCTGCATATTTTGGCTTTAGATTCCCATCAGCCCTGACAATGATGACCAATGATCAGGAATACTGGGAGTTGGAGTGCAAAATATCGGAGGTACACCATGTTGGGAAAAGATGCTTCAGGTTCATCTACACACGTGTGTCTGTGTGTATATATATATATAAACAAAGCATATGGCCAGAACATTCTATCTGTAATTAGAGTTTCATTACCTTGGTAGCTCTGAGGGCATGACAAATTTTTGAGCAGCTCTTGCTTAGCTCACCTTCATTGTCATGTATTGACTCTGTTAGGGGTCTCAAACCATTTTGGGAATTTGAAAAATTGCTGCAGATACCATCATAATATGGCTTCCACAGAGGCACAGTAAAATACCTATTTAAGTTTGTACTCTTAGGCATGCCAACCTGGAATTTGGTGGGAATCACTTCTGCGTAGTTCTGCATGGGTTTGCTTTTCTCATGCCGCACACAGACACAGACACACACACACTCTTTTTTTTAGCTCCAGCAGAAAGGAAAGTACTCTTATCCTCAAAAGGAACTCATGAGTTCCCTATTCCCTTTGTCAGGCATGGGTCTCAGCCGCTCCATTCCCCGCCCAGAAAGGCCCTCTGTGTGTGCATACACATGTGTATGTGAAGAATGAGAGGAGGGCTGGGTAGGGAGGGAAGAAAGAACAAGGCCAGGGACTTGGAGGAGGAAGGAACAGAGATAGAAGGGTGAAAAGGGGAGAAAGGCAGTGAGGGGCAAGAAAAAGCAAAGCTGTGAAGAGGCGAGAAAGAAAGTGTGAAGTAAGAGTGTGGGAGTAGAGAGAAGAAGAACAAAGAGGAAGGGCCTGTGAAGGGCCTGGAGGAGGAGAAAGATCAGGCAGGGTCAGCAAGCAACTCTCTCTCTCGTTGCCAGCCTAGCTGCTGACTGGTGGTTTCAGGAAGAGAAAGGAGAACCTGGCATCCTGAAAATTTTCACTTCTTGAAAAAAACAACCTAAAAGGGAGCAGATTTTGTAAAGGGGAAAGATTTTGGAAAGTCCCTGAGGAACCATCCTTGACTGGAAATGACTGGACTTGCAGATCAACACATCTAGTTTGGGGAAGACTAACTTTTACTGTGAAGTTTCATTCTCTGCACCAACAGGTGCTTCAGAAATGATGAAAACTATAGCCAAGCATGCCATGTTTGCCCTGTTGAGCTGTAGACTCAAAGCTTTGGTCAGTGGTCCCTCTGCATCTAGAGTAGTCATGGGCAAACATATCTCACCTTTATTTTTTCCCTTGGAAAGTATGGAATTCATCTGTGTAACCTTGGGCAAGAGTTTTCCTTGAATTCCAGATGTGTGGCGGGATAGTTCCCATCAAAGTGTGGGGGAAGAGTGGTGGGCTTAGGGTTGCACCCCATCGCTACAGTTGTATTTGGATCCTCCTGTTCTGTATGTGTCTCCAGTCATCCTGCAAAGAGAATCCCTTCAACCGGAAGCCGTCGCCTGTTGCCTCCCCCTCTATTAAGAAAACCCCAAAGGGACCCAAGCCCGCAAGGCCTCCTGCTCCTGGACATGGCTTTCCTTTGATCAAACGGAAGGTAACAGGGTGGGGAGGAAAAGAGATGGGATTCTGTGTCCTTTGCTGTATTGTTTTAACTGGTGGAAGGAGGTGGGAAGTTACGGGGTATGGTGAGGTCAGGAAGAGCATTTGATTAAAACAGTGGCCCTGGAACCTGATGTAAGGACCAAGAAGAGCCATGCTGGATCAGAGCAACTGTCCATCTGGTCTAGCCTTGTACTTGTGCAGTGGCCATGGGAATCCCGCAAGGAGGACATGAATGCAGTGGCACCCACGCATGGCTGTCACACTCTTATTGCCATCCCAAACTTTTCACAGCCCTTTTTTAATAATAGACAAAATTATATTTGCTCGTGTCTATGCTGACTTCAGTTTCTTAACTCTGAATTTGTCTCCTTGAGAATGTCAGCCTTCAGTTTAAAAATATAAATAAAACTAGTCTCTCATGGTTTCTTTGGAAGTCCAGATGGATTTGGGGTGGGCTTCTTGGCCAAGTGCTGTCCTGCTTCTTGCCCTTGTTCAGACTGCATGTGTTTAGAATCACAGGTTCTGTTTTTTTATCTTCTTTCTTCGGTCCTGGGGTCAAGTGAAATCTTCCAAAAAGCATGGCCATGACTAGCTTGTTTGAACTGGGAGGCATGTTCCTTTCTTCCTTTCTTTTGGTCTGCAGGTTCAGTCAGACCAGTATGTCCCAGTGGAGGATATCTATGGTGAGATGGACAGCATAGAGCAGCAGCTGGATGAGCTGGAGCACCGAGGAGTTGAGCTAGAGAGGAAGCTCCGCAGCATGGAGAATGGTAGAATGGGTGATACCATTTGTGAGGCTAAATGGGGAGAGGCAAAAGGCAGGGACAGTTTCAGCATGTCAAGCTGCGTTAATTAAACCATCCACCAAGCCAGGCTTTCCCCTCTGGGATCCTGACGCTGGTCTTGAGCATCTGCTGCTTGGCTAGCTTCACCCCTTTTGTGCACACTGTGTTTGGTGACATAGTGGAGAGGGCCCACTGGGAAGCAGCACCAGCCCTTCTTACTGCTTGGGGTGCTGCTCTCATCTGCTACTTTACTCAGAATTTCCTGTTCCACCTGAGCTTCAGCACAGTCCGCATCTAAGGGAGAGGAAATTAATTTTCCCAGCAACAAGATACTGCTGCGAGCTATCCCTGCTGTCATGTAAAGTATTTTGGCGTGACCTGGTTTTGAATGAACAACAGAGACCCACTGGCTTCACAAAAGACCTGCTTCTGCTGAAGAAGAAAACTGCCTCCCATTCACAGCAGTTTGCATTTTTCACCTCTCCTTGGGGGTCTGGGAGTGCGGACTGTCAGGATGAGCACCTGCATTTCATAATTTAGCACTACTCTATTGACCCAATTTCCTTACTACAACGCTGTTCTCTGTACACTGGCCTTCCCAAGCCTGGTGCCTTCCGGATGTTTTGGGCTGTAACTCCCATAAGCCCCAGCTAGCATGGCCAATTGTCAGAGGTGCTGGAGGTTGTAGCTCAACAGAGCTGGAGGACACCAGCTGGAAACAGCCAATGCACAGTACATGCACAGGGTTAAAAATAAAAGTAACATTAAAAATAATTCTGCACATACTTAAATTGCACAGTATTGTATAGAAATATTGAGGCTGGGCTGGAGCAGCAGAAGCCAAGGGGAGAGCAGCAGAGAAAGGGGTGAGGACCCTGAGGCTGAGAGAGAAAATGTTCATATGTAGTAGATCAGCCTTTGCCAATCAGATGCCCTCCAGATGTGTTGGACAGTAACTTGCAACATTTCCAGTGGCCATGCATGCTGAGAGTGATGGAAGCTGCTGTCCAGCACATCTGGAAAGCACTAGGTTGGAGAAGGGTATATCCGATCAAGAGGATGAACAAGCCAGTGGGGGTAGGGATGTGACGCTGCTGCAGAAGCAGAGGTTGTGCCTGAAGGGACCCTCATCTCCTGGCTCGGAGGGGAGGGATGGAAGTGAAAAAAGGAGATTTTGAAGCTTATCTGGCTGACATTCAGGGAAACAGCTCCTGTTGTTTAGCTAAGCTTGGGACATGATGGGGAGCTGGTTGAAGGAGGATGGATGGTACATCAGTGCTTGAATTTCTTGATGTCTTCATCTCCTCAGCCCATTACACTGGAGTGGGGGATCATGCTGGGTGGGCGAGCCAAGGCCAAATGCCATCCCCACATGCAACATTCTATGGCTGCATCAAAGAGGCCTTCAGTATGTGCTATTTGGAGACAGACAGGTGTCTCTGTTCACAGGCAAAGAGAACGGGGGGAAATTGAATATAGACAGCTAAAACAGATTTTTAAAAATCTCTCAGCTGGAGCTTTGCACAATACTGGAAGCACATGTGTGCTGTATGTGCACAGAAGCACAAGTCATTGGAGAAAATGTTGCCGTCTGCTCTTTTTTTTCCAGAAGCAGCCCTTTTAGGCCTCGGTTGCCCTGGAGCAAGAATTGAGCTCCGGTCCAAGAAGCTCTGGCTCCATTTTCCTGTTGCCTCTGTTTTTGCAGAGGGAAGTAGTCCTTCAGGATATGCAGGTTTCTGATCTCTGCTTGTCCCTGTCCCTTTGACTGGCAGATGTCCCTGAAGATGGCTTGCTGGTTGACTGGTTTAAACTTATCCACGAGAAGCACATGCTGGTGCGACGGGAGTCTGAACTCATCTACATGTGAGTATGAATGCAGGACTTCAGCTGCAGTCCCAAACAAGCCTTCCCTGGACTCTTGCAAGACTTCCTTCTGATATGCTCAGCCTTGCACTGTCAAGAAGAGTAGCCTGCTGCATCTCGGAAGCTTTGGGCAGGGAACAAAGGCAAATAAATGCAACGTAACAGAGGAAAACATTTATGTGACTTACATTTATGTAATTGATAATATAAATAATATTATTTTTGGATTAGTTATATTTTAGAAATCAATATTTTCTACTTTATGAGTTTTATTTTATCATTAATTTAACAGTCTTAATTATTTACTTTTGCAATTTAACTTTTATTAATTACATTTTAAAAGAGTAATTCTACAGATTCTCCTTATGGCCCTTAGAGTTTCCCTTTTTTTTCAAATCTTTTATTTGTTTTTGGAAAGTACAATAGAAAGAAAAAGGGTATATAGGGAAAAAAGAAGCCAAGGGTCATTCCAAAGATTTAGCAAGCAACTCCTCATTTAAACAGATTTACAGTAAATAAAAGTCTCTGTCAACCACTTTCCGATCCAACCCATTCAATTCTTAGTCATATATTTATCCATCCTATATAGTTAGTTATAGATCATAACATTGCTTTGGTAACAAATAATAATTAGAAACTTTTGTAAAAGTTGTATTTTCTTTAACCATTATTTAAAGTATTCATAGTAAGCCTTCCTTGCTTGGAAACTCTCAAAGAGGCTTACGAACAGTTCTCAGAATTAAAATCGCTCTCCAGTCTCGCACCAGGAAGGAAATTACGCACTGTTTCCATGGAACCAGGATTACTTGGGCAGCATTGTTCTCCCTTGTTCTTCCTGGGTGCCATGCCAGGAATCAGTTCCCACTGAGATGCTCCAAGAGAAGGGAGTTGGGTAGAACTGCTGCATCTCTTTCAGTCTGTGATAGAAGCAGTGCTCCCTGGTTGGCAGTTGCCAGGCAACAGCTCCCACTGAGGCCCCCTGAGCCAAGTATCACTGAAATATCCTCATCCTTTGCAGACTTAACGCTCAGCCATGAAGGCCAGTCCCAATGGGTAGCTCTCTCAGCCATCCAAAAAACACTCAGCTTGCAGTTTGGTGAATCTGTGGTGGTAGACAATTCCATCATGGCAGAAGAGGTGCCAGCAAGTTGGTGGTCATAAGAGTGCCTCTCTTCCTAGGTGGAAAGAGGATCAGGAACACTGTCTCCTGTGGCCACTAAAGCAGCCAAATCTTATTAAGCAGAAGTTCTACCTGCGGTTGATCTAGGGAAAATGAGAAGCCAGCATTTGAACTGATCTTTGGGAGAATGATGTTTTAAAATAGCATTGCCTCATCAGAAATTCTCCCTGCTCTGTGCCAATCTTGTTTATTTAGTTAAAATTTTATAATGTTTTCAAAGAGAATACATACAAAATTAAAAGTAAAATTAAACACATTCATATTAATAGCTATTAACTCATAATTCCTTCCAATCCCTCTCCTGATTTTATCCATGTTTCTTTGTCCTATTTCTTTTTTTAATCCCTCCCTTTTCATGAGTTCCAGATTTTTCTATAAGCTTTTCCCAGAATTACTCTATTCAGTTCTTTCTTCATGTAATTATATATTATTGTCACTCCTTGCTAAAAGTATATTTTATCTTTATTCCTCCGTACACTCCTAATTTGTCTGTCAACTTTCATTAATTGTTCTATTCCATGTTGATTTCCCGTTTCGGTATTGTCAACATCTGAGCTGTCTTCCAGTTATTTGCTATTAATTGCCTTTTGGCTGTCCCTTCCCATCTTGTTGCTGGTCTCTAGCAGTTCTGAGGCAGTTATATGACCCTTCAAGGCAAACCTAATACAACTAATGCTCAGCTTCTCTCCTTTTTTTTTTTTTTTTTAGTTTTAAGCAGCAAAACTTGGAGCAGCGTCAGGCTGATGTGGAGTATGAACTCCGGTGTCTCCTCAATAAACCTGGTAAGCCTCTTCAAGGTCTCCTCCTGCTTGATCTGCTATATGTCTTATGCCACAGCATTAGGACACTACACTGTTGTTAAAAGAAATTTCCTTAAAGTGTTCAAAGCAGGTTTAGGCAACCTGAGGCTGTCTAGAGATGCTTTGGATGACAACATCCAAAACACATGGGCTCAAGATGACTCAACCGGTCTTCCATGGCCTGACTGGTCTCCCATGGCACCTGTTCAGAGTTTTTTGAATGTTTAACTTGCACTCACTTTTTTCCTCCCTAAGGGCACAACCTTTTGGGGATCTCTGCAATCCTCTGAACTCAGAAAGTTGTGGGCATCAAATGAAGGATGGGAGGAATGTGGGGGTGAGCAGAAGAGGCTGCAGTGCTCTTGGGCTTAGCAGATTAAGGTGGTGCCTCCCTCCTCCCCTCCCCAACCCTTAAAATGCCCCCACAGTGCCTGCCCCATCTCTGAGGCTGAAGCCTGCACCAACTGCGAGGGCATCTGCTAGCCAAAGGATTCTGCCCTAAGTGCTTTTAATGAAAGGCTGATAATCACATTTTCCTAGGGCACCCTAGGGCATGAATGAGACATCTGCGTGGACCGTGCATGTCAGGCCCATGGGCATTGCCTGTTCTGACAAGTGGCATCTCTCTAGGGCCCCAAGTATTTATTTATATACGAGTAGGCTTTCAAGGCAGCTTATAAAGATAAGAAATAAGACAGTTCCAGCTTACAATCTGAAAGGCATGAAACAAAAGGAAAAGGGACTGAGAGAGAGGAGAGAAAAGGCAAATTTGGGCCCTAGTTTTTGTTTGCAAAGTTTAGCAGTTCATGGACTTAGATGAAGGGCTGCAGCTTCCTCTGCCTGCAAGGGTCTCTCAGCTGCAGCTGGATCCAAGCACAATGGAAGGGTTTGTAATGACTGCTTCCTCTCTTTCTGATGGCCTCAGTGGTGACTGTAGGCAGCAGAAGTGAAGGGGGTGAAGGACTTCCTAAGCCCAGCTGAGGATCTAGAGATGCCAAGGATCAGACTTGGATCTTCCTGTGTAGTGCAAAGCATCCAGTCTGCCACTCCAGATATATTGGACTTAAAACTGCCCAAGCTTTCTAGGAATGATGGGAGTGGTAATCCAGCATATTTGCAGGACACCATGTTGGGGAAGCTGGACTACACAGGGAGAGGTGGATTTTTGTTTTGTCTTATCACACGTGGGCTGCCAGCAGGGAGCACTATTCAGTCAAAGGAGAGGTTGTTGCCTGCCTATATGGCATTTCCTGCCCTGGCCACCAAGAGTCGAACAAGAAGGAGGCTCCCAAAATTGCTGACAGCACAAATGATCCAGAGAAAGGGACAAAAAAGAACTCACTGATCAGTGAGCCAAATCAGTGAGCAAAACCAAATTGTTCCTCTGCCAGTACTTTGAATATGATGATCGTCTCAGACAAAAACTCAGAAAAAGCGAAGGTGTCAAATTGCTTTATATGGAAGCTGATGGTTTGTCTGCCTGGTCCAGTTCTATTTTCTTTGAAGAGTAGTGGCTTGTCACAGTCCCAGGAGGAGGTCTTCCCCGAGCAACTTTTAACTCGGAGTTTAGCAACACCTGGAGGGCAGTGGGCTGCACTGTCAGTCTGGTACTGAGAAAAAACAGCAAAGTAGCTTCCTTTTAAATAAGATGAAGCAGTAGTCAGCCTTCTCAAACAGTCACTCCAGTGGCATGTATTTCAGCAGCAAAAGTGCCACTTACTACTTTAAAAAGTGTCCAGTTTGCCACTTTCTCCTTGAAATTTGGTGGGGCAGCAACCAGTGGGGCACAGGGGGCTTTTCTTTTGCAGAACAAAACCATGGCCATCTTGCCTGAGGAAGCTCTTCATGTGGCTCTTGCTTCCCCTCTCTCTTCCTTGACAGAAAAAGACTGGACAGATGAGGACCGAGTGAGGGAGAAGGTGCTGATGCACGAGCTTGTGACCATTATCGAACAACGGAATGCCATCATCAACTGCCTGGATGAGGACCGGCAAAGGTAGCATGAGAAGTCGTGGAAATGGGCTGGCTGATTTTAAGGAATGGGGCTTGGGGAGTTCCTGCTGGCTGTAGGGCACATGGTGCGAGGCACAGCTGCACCGTGCCCTTCGTTCAGTGAAAGCTTCTCCAGGCTGTGCGCAGGAGTACCTAAGCTCTGTCTGGGACACTGATGCTAGTGCCTGAGGCAGAGCTGTGGCCTGCTGGGTTTTGAGACAAACCTGCTCCTGCAGGATAGGCAGGAGGTACTGGCCAAATGATGCTTGGAAAAGGGTAACACCTGTAATTTCTGTGCATAATGGTAGATTTGGGGAAAAACAAACTTTGGCTGTGTTTGCTTAGGCAGAATGTCATGCTTAGCTTTCTCTCTTTTTTCAGGGAGGAAGAGGAAGATAAAATGTTGGAAGCCATGATTAAAAAGAAAGGTAAGGGGACGGAGCTCCAGTAATTAGGCACAGCAGAGTCCTGATGACCACTGCTCTGCAGGAGTATAACCTCCTGGTGTTGTTTCCAGCATATTATCCAGGTGCCGAACAGACACACCTTGCCAAACAAACTAAAACTCAGCACTCAGACAATATTCAGTTCTGCTCCAAGCAAAGTAAAACATGAGTCAAATGATGCAAATTAAGTAAACTTGCAGGATTCATCTTTCTGTCTTTCTGCATAATTCTGTCCAATTTCTGCTTATAGATGAAGTAGGAACAGAGAGAGAGGAGGAGCAGTAATATTAGTGGGGTATTAAGTGTCCCTCTACTTTGGTGAGCCCCTCTGACATTGAGGAATATCTCACTCAGCAGAGGGCAGCAAGTAGTCACTAGCTCTGGTCAAGAACAAGAGCCTGAATTGTCTTGGGTGAGCTCCCCGTACTGAGCTAACTTAAGAAGCCACTAATCGCTTCCGTAGTGATCTTCTGAGAGATGGAAGGAGGCTAAACACTGCCTTCTCCCTAGCAACATTCTGATGCAGCACACCAAACAGTCAAGATCCTTCCCCTACCAGTTGCTTGCAGGGAAAGAGAGACCAAGGCATCCATTCTCTTCTGAAGCAACCACCTCAGAGGAAGAATGAAAACCGTGGCTGTTCTCCACACTTGATTTTGCTAATTTATTCTGGTTTTGCTAGCCATGGGGCAGGGCAAACAACTAGGTAGGACTCTGAAGTCCCACCCTCAAACAGCCTCATTTCATTTACATATGCATTTTCAAACATTTCCTTCACATCAGTAAAGGCTAGAAACTTTCTTCTTTAACAAAAGTTTCCAACAGTTGAATTCAGTGCCAAGTGAACCTTCTGGCCTAGTTCACATGTAATGCATGGTGTGGTTTGTTGAAATGAAAGTCGCTGTTGACTCTGAACCCATCCCCACAAACAAATAATGAGTTCTGAACCATAGTTTAAACTATTACTTGTCATGTTGTCTGAATTCAGACTCTTGGCTTATCCCTGGCTTTTTAAAGCTGCTGTCTACCCTGAAACAGAAGTACTCTGCATGAACAAACTGAAAGTGAAACTGCTGTGAAGGTTGGCAAAGTTGGTGGAAGAGTAACAAACCTGACACAGGGCAGAGGGAAAGCTGTTTACTTGTCTGCAAGACAATTTGTTGCTAAAGCAACAAACCAGTTAACATAAACAGTGGCTTAACATGATATGTGAACACAGCCTCTGCATTTCTGTGTACTCTGCAGAATTGTAGCAGACACAGCTCTGTGGATTAATCCTGATCCTGCACACAAACTGCTAACTTCAATTTGATAGTGTATCTTCATGAGCAAAGCTTGAGGATGCTCACATGTATAGGTGCACAACTAGCTAACAACAGTCTGTATTACTTGTGATATACAGCAAGGATTCTGGATCTATCCAGGGGTTAGTCCCTGTTTTCTGTGCATCTTCACAAGTGCCAGCACTCAGTCCCACAAAAGGGTGGAGCAGAATTCAAACATAATTTCAAATTCTATAAGCAATGCCTGTCCTGATTGCAAAAAAGTTCTATGTTTTAAATGTGCAGATAAGCAGATGGAGGCTAAATGAGCTACTGGCAGAATTTGCATTTTCTGGTCATCTGGTCTGTCATTTGCTTAGCACAGTATTCCAGAGTTCCTGATGCCTGGGCACCTTACTTGTATATTGTACTGCATGAGATCCCTGCTGTGGCGTAAGTGGGCAAGGACCTTTAGCTCAAGTCCTGTTCCTGGAATCTCCAGTTAGGGTTCGGCAAGACTTCTGCTGAAACCTGGAGAGATATGCACTAGTTTACTGCAGCCATCCCCAACCTGGTGCCTTCCAGGGTATTGGACTACAACTTCCATTGTCTTTGGCTGGGAGGGAATGATGTAAGCAGTTGTACAACACATCTTGAGGACACCACAATGGGAAAGGGTGGTGTAAACAGTACTGAGCTAGATGGACTGATGGTCTGATGTTCCTTGTTTTTCCTTTCACTGCCACCTCCTACATCCCACTAAAATCACTTACAATGTGTCTGACTTTCCAGAATTTCACAAGGAAGCTGAGGCAGAGAGCAAGAAGAAAGGAAAATTCAAGCCCATGAAAGTGTTGAAGCTGCTTGGGAACAAACACGACTCAAAGAGCAAGTCACCCAAGGAGAAAAGCTAAAGCAGGTTGCAGCCAGACATGGAGAGCACTGTCTTGTACTCTCAGACTGCACCAGCTGATTGGCTGGGTACCTGGCAAAATAGGACTTGTGGCCTCTTCCTCTTTTATTTTTAAGAAGCTGTGCCTCGCCATACACCAAAGATGGTTTTTTCCTGGAGAAATTCAGTTGACTTCCATCAAGAGATGCTTCTTTGCCTAGTAAAGGGAGAGGCCTGGTAGGTCAAAACAACACTGAAAATAAAGGAGGGACAGACTTGGAAGAGGAAGCTAACTTGTTCCTTCAGGGTAGGGTGGGGGCTGAGGTGGGGATGGGAAAGTGAAATAGCATCAAACTTCTTCAATTGTGTGTGTGTTCTTATTGTTAATGGTTCCTGGCAGTCCAGGATTTGAGTGTCTGTGGGAAACCTTGCACTAATTGTCCCCCTTCTCTAACTGTGATAGTCACGTGTGCCTCATATCCCTCTCCTTTGGGGAGGAGACCTTCTGTAGCAGTCTGGGAGCCTCCTCTTCCCTGCCCCAAATCCCTTTTATCTTTACCTTTTTGTCCCAAATATAAATCTCTCCCACTATGGTCAATTGAAAAGCCTCTGAGTTTTCAGAGCAGGGTTTATTTATTTATTTTGTTGGCATAAACTGTTAAAACTAGAATGATCACAGAAAATGCTTCTTAATCATATAGAAGAAGCCAAAAATCTAACTAGCGCCCTATTTCTAGAGGCCTTTCCCACACCAAAGGAGGATGTGCTATGGATGCTCACTCTCTTGGAAACATTTTCAAAAGTATGGAAGAAAGGTTAAGGCAGCTGTCTCAAACCCTGTGCCCTCCAGATGTGTTGGACTGTAACCCATCATCTCCTACCAGAAGCCATGATGGTACAAGAAGGTGGAAGTTGTCTGGCGATCACCAGCTTGGGGAAGACTATGTTAAGAGGATGGTATTTGTGCGGGTCTCATTGGCCCTTTAAACCCTCTTGATTGCTGCTGCTAATTTCATCCATGGTGCTCCTCAGGGGACACAGGGACTGGGAAGGGATCAAGAATTCCCTGTCTACTGGTAAGGCGTAAGAGGATGTCAAGATATACTTAATGCCATAAGGCTTCTTTTTGCCTTGTTCATCAGTGCTGTCCTTAGCCTATCTGGGAGGGATCTCAGTTACTCCTCCCCAAGCTTGATCTGTATATATTTTTCTAAGTGTGCAAGAGAGTTCTTTCTGTAGGTTTTTTTTTAAACAAACTTCCAAACTCCACCCCTCCCCCCAATTCCAGCTCTTTGGTGTGTGCGTGCGTGCGTGCATGTGTGTGCAAGTGTGCATGCTGGAAGGGAAGTCATGTCTTTCCTCCTTCCTTTCTGCCTTCTCCTCTTAGTCGAGGAGCTATTTATTGAGATGTATAATTGCTTGGTCTGAGTTAAACACTGACAGTATTGTAAGTGTTGGTTAGTCAGCTGTTAGTCTTGAGTTCCTGTTAGCAGAGTAGACTACCAGCCCAGAGCAAATTGCTGTGCTGCCTTATCCAAATACAATGACTTTTGAGAAGTCCCTCCTGCGACATTCAGCTTCAGCCATTCCAGAAAGGGATCTGAGTTCATCAGTGATACCAGCATCTGGAGAAGGCCATGTTCTAAATTCCATAGCAGGGGATTAGAGCCACTATCAGCCTCCTGCTCCCCACAGCGAAGTCACCCTGGATTTGATCCCAAAGCACAACTTTTCCCTTTATAAACAATACAAATCAGTGTTTCAAATGCCATCAGACTGGCTCCCATCAGAGATCCCCACACCCTCTTGGACATAATGACACTGTATTAACTGCAATCTCCACTGACATGCAGGGAACTGATAAATAAGTAAAATAATTGTATTTAACATCTGTTGTAATGTTTATTTTTGTGTTTTGAGTTGCCTTCTCCCAGCAGAAGGAAAACCCGGTCAGTTATACATCAATCTATTTCCAGGGGAATGGAAAGCTCAAGTATATACATAAGTCTGCCTTTTGTCTCTAAACACAGCAGCCAAGGGCTACACTACACTTGAATGGAACAACTATGTTTGGTCTTAGGGTGTGAGTTCTCCAGTCACATCTAAACTGGAGTATGGGCTGCACTTTCTTCAGTGAAACATTGTGAAAGTGAAGGAGCTGGATGCTCCTCCTTTGTATTACCTTGTGTTCGATTACTTTTCTGTCAGCCCATTTCTGAGGCTAATAAGGAACTGGACTGGGCCAAAAAGTGGTTCAAGTGGCAGGGTATGGTGAGTTCAAGCACGGAAGAGAGTGGCTTCTCTTGCCCCCACCTTGTTGTAGAAGTGAAACCTCTCTGCTTTAGACATGAATGAAGCAGATACATAAATAAACAACCCATCATATCCAGGTTGGCCCTGACAAATTCATTTATATCCACAATCTCACTGCAATGGCCAAAGAATTCAGAAAAGAGGGGTCATGACTGAGTAAAGTGCTCTGAGACCTGCCCTCTCTGTGCCAGCAGCCACAACTATCTGCTGTGCACTAATTAAACACAGGAATTCTAAATGAGAAATGGGAGTGCTACGCTCCACTTTTAGGTGAACACTACAGGTTTTGGACATCTACCAAAATGTTTGACCAGAATTGTGTTTGGATTAGAATAAGCAGAAAAACAAAATGCTAGAAAACAACATACCGTTATTCTGTTTTGGAGGCTAGATAGGTATGCTGAGATTCTTTCATTTCTGCCTGGCCCGCTAAAAGAAGAAGGGCATATCCTTACTATTCTCTGCCCACAATCAAATGGCTTCATTTAAACCACATCCCTGAAAAGGCCTCTTTTGGTTAAATGCTATGAACAGAGTGTTTCTAATCTAAGTTCACAACACACACCCCCGGAGACTGAAGCACTCCTATAGTTGTTTGCCACTAAAAGGTCAAGACTGCACCATTAAGACCTGTTGATACAGTTTCGCAGAAGTTCTAGTTCTGGCAGCAGAAAAAACTAAAAACCCAATAGCTGTATGCTAAGCCTGGAAATAATTACTGGGCTTCTTGAGAATTAGGCTCATTGCCTACATTGAAGGATTTCGCCAATGCCTCTTTCAGTTCAGTGCTTCTCTGCTTGTCAATGATCTCCATCTCCCGCAGCTTCTGCAAAAAAGCAGAGAAAAAGCAGAGGTAAGAATGCTAGAAGCTTTCATTTCCTTATAACATGCAACTTTCACAGTTAAAGGCTTATTCCCAAAAACACCATGACATTTTTTTCAAGAGGATCTCCGTGCCTTATACATACAGATACACTGACCTCCCAAGTTTTTTTCCTACTTTCTCACAGTTGTCGGACTGGAACAGTAATGTTCAATCCTAAAAACATCAAAATACACAGACTAGATACCTGTGATATTTCAGTGAGAATAATTCCTTGGTAAAACTTGCCCTGTCCCAGAGCCTTCATCTCTGCCAGAAACTTCTGTCGATCTTGAATTTCATTCACCACTAAGCATTGAAAAAAAGAGAAAGCAATGGGTAATGATGATCCTGAGGGCAAGAATGCCTCAGAACTTCTTGAAGTCTGAATTACCCTATTTCTCAATTGTTAAACATTGCATTCTCACTTGTATGCTGTTTAAACTTCGAAATGACTCTCTCTCTCCTGGAAAGAACACTTGCTGATCGGATACTCAATACACGTTTTTGGTACATAGTGATATTTATGGAGGACTAGGCTATCAGGACTAGGCTACTAGCTCTGATAACTAAATGAAGCCTCCAAGTTCAGAGTAAATATGCCTCTGAATCTGTTCCTGGGATTAGAAGGCAGAGTACAGGAGGGGAACTGGTGCCCCTCAGGATGATTGGGCACAATCCTATGGCCACTAAACGCTCTCTTGATGGCCAGAGGAATGGTTGGAGTCCCAGTGCTGAGTTCTGACCACCCTCACAGCTTGTACAGTTCCTTTTGCAGCACTTGTGGATCTGGCACTAGGAGGTTATTCCAGGAGTAGAGGAAGAAAGACATTCTGCCAGGATACTTAGAATGCTGGCAGTGCCTCAGCCTCTTCTCACAAGCAAAGCGAAAAATCAGACAGCTGAAATTGGACATCCATGTCTTTTACAGGATGGGAAGCTTGCCTCTGTGAACCTCCCATACCCAACTGGATGCCCATAATCCTTGGAATTTGGAGGGTTAGAGGTAGCCATATTAGATGGCTCCCTAAATGGACATTTGTGCTGTCAGAGCAGGTACCTTCTGTTTTTATGAGTTGCATATGAATTGCTTGTTCAAGTTCTTGTCACAGGTGGGGTATCGTGGAGAATTTCTCATGCAAATGGTATGTACCCCACAGTCAATTAAAATGTCAAATGGAGTTCTGCACTGTGCACTCCATTTGCACAAGGGACACAAGAACCCATCCTATGCAATTCCCACCATGCCTGTCTTCTATTTTCATTCTTATTGCATCAGGCTATTCTGGTGCCATCATAGGGAACAGTCTGCACTGCAGCTAAAGCATTGCTTATGTGGCAGAAGTTTCCTTGAATGGTGTTATTCCTGTATCAGAGTTGTGCTCCTATTGCTGTACTGTTCATCCCAGAAGTAGAAAATATATTTTGACAGTGCAAATAAACCTTCACACTCAGCCACTGGTTTGTCAGCAACACTCTATCTGTAGAGCCAGGAAAAGACAAAATCCAACGACTGCTTCTCTCTGACCAGTTTTTGTACTCCAGGATAAGAGAGATGCCTCCCTAAACTGCAATATACAGAGTACATCAGACTGAAAGTTTAAACCAAATAGATTCTTTCACATACATTCATCAAACCTGTCCAGTTCTGGTACCTCTTCTTCCACCTTGACTAGCATCTTCTGTCGTGGTTTTTCTACCTTATCTTTCCCTGTTGCTAAGATGTTTTGGAGTCTTTCCTTCTCCTTCTCCAAGTCTCCTACAAATTCCAAAGAAAGCAGATAATATAAATCAGTAGGAGACGTGCTTTTTTCCTGCTGTGCAGCTGGGCCTCTGTGCTTAAGCGCTACCCAGGGATCTTGCATAGGTGACCAATAAAAAGCAGGCATGCTAACCTTGTGTATTATGTAGACTATACATAATAGAAATGATAAATACTTGAGGATAAATGTTCTGACACAAAGCAATAAACAGCTGGGTTTATGGGAGACAACCTGAACAGCAAAGTTTGGTGGGGGAAAATGATAATAAAACAGGACAGGGTTTGCCACAATTCACATTCACCTGAAAATACAATTCAATGGGGCTTACTCCAAGGTTAAGGGTATATTTCAGAGAAGCAGAGTGCAAACTAAATTATCACACTGAAAATTTCAGTGTGTGGGTTACATTTCTGCTTACCTTACTATATTGGGAAGCACTGTAAACGGGGAACTGCAAAGATAGCATTAGTGCTAGTGTAGTGCCTTAGAACTAGAAGCCAAGGTATACCTAGTTGAAAATTTGTCTCTGTCATACATTATTACTGTTACATAGTTCCCTTTTCCTAGTTAGCCTGTGGAGCTTAATCATTTGCAAAAGTCTGCTTGCTTACGAGTGGCTTGGGGCCTGAATTTTTCTCGGGTATATGCATCGCCTGCCCGGCAGATCTCAGCAGGCCGGAGGTGAGGTCTACCATATGAACTGATGGTCAAAACAACCCTTGGTGGTGAGACTGGTTTTGGAAGCTGTGGTTCTCTGCTGGATGTTGGGCTGCAGTGGGTAGGCAATGAGTCACCTCCTGGAGAAAGAAAGATACAGAGTGGAAGATAGGCAGGCAGGCCTTCTGACTTGCAGATAGAGAAGTGACAGAACCTATCTAGTGGGGACTTTTAAGGTATTCCTGGTCTGAAAACCAAGTGGGCCTGGAGCTCAGGTTTTAACCAAATGCCTACATATAGCCATATGGAAGTACACTGCAGACACAATCTCTCAGCGGAGGTTCTGGAAATTAGCTTGGCTGTGAAAGCACATGCATCTAACAGGGATCCAAATTATTTTGATTCACAGCTTTTATTAAAAGCTTCCAAAATCTATTGATTCAGTATATACTAAAGAGCCTGTTCAGGAGGAACCCAAAACATAAGAGAGCTTCATTAAGGTTCTGGATAGAACTAGAGCCCATTAAGCAGTCATAGTCTGTGACTTACTTTAATTTAAATTCTGTCTGACCTCTTGAGCCTAAATATATTTCATTTCCAAGAAGGTAATTTTTTTTGTGGTGGGGGGAGTCAGAGATTGTTCACATTGACTGTGGCTGAAACATATTTAGAAATCTGGAGTAATAACAATTGACTTTGCAGCTAAGCATAAAGGAAAGGTTAAATTCAGGCAGAACTCACGTTTCATGCAGTTTATAAGATGACGTTGCTGGAAGTTGCTAAGTTTTGATTCTTCCATCATCACTGAAATAAAGAAGATACTATCAGTAAAGATTCTCATATTTTCACCTGAGAACCCTACATATATAAACAGTTTCACAAACAGCAGATAGGAACTTCCAAGCCCTCAGAAGGTTCTAAGAAGAAAGTAGCCCAGGGCTTAAAGACATTTATAGTGAGGGACAGGGGAAACCACCACATAATTTATTTTGTTTAGGATTAGAATAATTCTGTAAGCCATCCAGAGATGACAGTGATGGATGGCCTATACATTTTCATAACTAACAGGGCATCCAGTCCCTGGGCAGCTCCATGTGATTCCTCCAGGCAGCGAGGCTAAGGCTTCAAGCCCCATCCCTGGGAGAAATGCCCTCAGGGGCTATTATCCTGCTGCTCTACAGAAGGGATTCCCTTGTTGGCATGAACCAGGAGTGGAATCCCTCCTGTTACTTCTAATTGCAGAGCAGCCTTGGCACTGAGGCTTGCCTGTGCTAAGAACAGCCACAAATTAGCCCCTCAAGTCAAAGAGTTGTGTCTCCACAGATTCTATGGCATATTTGCCCACATTTCACCTTACATAATCTTACATAACATAACCCTCAAATATATTACCCATCAGCTCCTAGTGATGTCAGTGAGTGAAACAGTGATTACTCATTAAGTTCAAAAGATACTACCTAGTTAAAAATTAATGGATTGATATGTATGTAAATAGGCTTCTGTAATACAAAAATCCAAAGGACAGAGAAAACTTTATTATAAGTTTTAAGAAGTATTATTCATGAACTCTATCATCAAGAAGCAACTGATTTGTATTTATAATACTGTAGTTCCATTTAGAATTGCCAAACTGGGGCTTTCCAGATATGCAACTTCAGTCATTCCAAGCCAAGGCCTTGCTAGCCAGGAATGATAGGAATTGCAGCCCAAAACATCTCGAGTGTACTGGCTTGGGGAAGGCTGGTTTAAAGCCTATTTACATTTCAGTGGGGCAGCTGTGTGAGAAAACTGGTTTGTGTTGCTGCAGAGCCAGTGCAAGGCAAATGGGGTATGAGCATCTGGCTCCTCCTGTATTAGGAACTAGGGACCCTCAGGGCAGCTTGTGCTGGTGTGCCAAAAGCAGCTTCTGGCACATCATGGCAATTAAGCAAACCCTTCCCGGCACATGCTAGGGAAAAAGGGGAATCAACACAGGCTTTTCCTGATGTTGCTATTCTTAAGCCTAGGCTGTATGGTTTATAATTCCAGTTTGCACTGTAACAGCATTAAAAAAAACCTAAGCAGTGGTTTCAAAATTCCAACATCACTTCAATAATACTAAACATTGCATATATTTTTGTGGTCTTGACTTGCAAGGATGGACTTGGACAAAAGTTCAACAGGGCATTTGCTTTCAATCCCTTTCAAGTTTGGACTGGCTATGAAATAGCTTTCTGAAACTTTGGAGAGTTGCTGTCAATCAGTGCAAGCAGTACTGAGATAGATGGACCAACTGTATATAAGGCAACTTCCTATGTTCCTATAACGTGCCAGATTGCATTGTATCTGCACTTGCTGCTGCCTATAGTGTAGATGAGGAGAAAGCTAAACTGCCAATTGTAATGTTTACCTGCCCTTCTGCAGAACGGTGATTTCTGTGATTCCAGACTGTTGGAAGGAAGTAATTTAAATGTGTTGGAAAGAAACTGAAGACCCACATGTATGAGAATGCATTCAAATGGAAGGTTATAAGGGACAGTATAGCAAAATGGTCTAGGTTGGTAAAGCAGGATGCACAGTTGCTGACCAAGGGCTATAAAAGTTTGTTCTTACTTTGGCCTCTTTTTAACCCTCAATTTACCTTTTAGCAGCTCTTGTGTTTCCTGGCAGTATTTAGTCACAACAGGAACATGCCAGAATCCAGAGCCTTTTGCTACAGCTGGTGTGGTCCTCTTTTGGGAAGTCATTGCAGCACCTTGAAAAAAACAGTGGAGAGATCATATTTTTGTAGTTATTAGGATGACAATTCAAAGGCACAATTCTTTCTCCATCCTCCATCCTCCACAGCGATAGTTTGCCAATTCCAAGATGGCCAATAAAAATAAATTTCCCCTTTTCTCTGCGATATTATTTACTACTAAAAAAGATTAAATACATACTAATATTATTATTAGTAATATTATTGATTACTTATTGAATTTTATTTGGCCAGGGCAGCTTATTTTATTCTACTGTATATATTTTAATTGTTATTGTTTTAATTTATTGTGTATTTTATTCGATGTTGTGAGCCGCCCCGAGGCTTCGGCAAGGGGCGGCATAGAAATGTTTTAATAAAAAATAAAATAAAATAAATACTATCAAAATACACTTTGAGAAGATACTGGGACTATTTTCCCTCACATATAGGTTCTGTTTACCATAAATTCAGACAAATCCCATGCATATTTACTGTTTACCTTGTGTGCTTCTAGATCCAATTCACAGTGCTTTTTTTTTTTAAATCTTGAAAGGCTTTCAGTATCTGGGATCCATACAGCAGAGAATGTATTTTCTTTTTAGCATTCTCTGTGTCAATAGTGTTCCTTAGATGATCCTAAGCTTTGTAACTTGTCACAGTGGGAGATGTAAACTGCAGTTGCTTAAAAGAGTTTTTACAGCAAATGCAGTTGGAGCATAGCATGATTTCAGCTACAAAGTTGCAAATGTTTAGCTTCCAGCTGTCTTTTGGCTTGGATGTGCAAATGTGTTGAGGCAGTATGTTTACTGCCTGAGGCAGTAGATGCTGCTTTTGTGCTGTCCTTTAAAAATGCAGTTATATTAAATATTGGTTAATTTGCTTTTAACTTTGTTATAAATGCATGTACATAAACATAAACATATTTGGAATTAAGTCCCACACAGTAGGGTTGGGGCTAACTGTCAAGAAAATGGATGCTAAGTGCACAGCCTTTCAAACTTAAACTGTTAAAATCAAAATAGGCCAAGACAGGGTGGTGGGATGAGCTTTCCTTACACTATCGGGTTTAGCTCCACTCATTCACTTGAGGCAGCTATTGATGCTGTACAACTCTGCTTGTGGCACAACAGAAGGGTTTTGCTTAAATAGGTATCATGTGCATAGCATGTAGAGCCATCGAGTGGGTTGTTCTTGCCTTGTGATGTGAGGATAGACTGAATTTCAGGATATCCAAACTCGGCTTCTTCCTTAATCGATTGAAGCATTGAGTTTCTTATGGTATATTTAATAAGACCACTGTAAAATCAATGACACTTTTTCTTTCAGCATGAGGAAAAAAACAAGGCACCCAGAGTTTCTGGTGCCGCACCATAATGATTGTAGTCTACTAATTAGCCTAACCCCAGAACGTTTTGACATCATTGTTCTGTTCAGTTCAGTTCAGTTCACACGCAAAGCTGGAACACCACTGGGCGCTATCCGTTCTCCTCCGCCATGCGACCGTTCAGACGCCTTCTATTTATCGGGTAGCCCTGCCGCAACCCTGATAAAAGCCCGTCCCTCGCTGGGGCGCGCGGCACGTGTGTTTGTGTACGGGGGGTGGACGGGGGGCTCTTAAGGGATTGTATCCACTCTTACCCAAGCTGGCGGCTCCCGTTACCAAGGCAACCACCTCCGGGGTCCGCTTCCGCCGACCTTTTCTTTCCCCCGGAAGTGCTTGTGGTGAGCCTCATCTTCGACAGAAGGTGTGTGGCGTTCACTTAGAGAGGGCTGTTGTCTTTTTCCGGGAGAAGGGAGCGGGGGTTCGGGGGTTTTTTCCCGCGTTCCTCGTGCGGCCCCTTCTCCCGTCATAAGGGGTTGCTCTCGTGTGAGCCGCGTGCCGAGTCGGGCAAAGGCGCAGCATGTCTGACAACGAGGATAAGTAAGTGAGGGCGCGCGTGGCGAGCGATGCTGTGAGGGAACGGAGGGTGCTGAGGCGAGCGTGAAGGTCGCTTGGTTGCGGTCGGGAGCAGGGAAAAGAGCTGCAGGGGGTTGTTGTAGGCCTTGCAGGGTCAGCCCCAATTCCCGAGGGGAGAAATATTGCATGGGAGCTCAGGACGTCGCACATGGTTGTGTCCCGTTCTCGCCCCTTCCCCGCCATTCCCCGTTTTAGCCTCTCAACCACACTGTGAGGTAGCCTTGGCCGAGAAATCAGTGACCCGAGATCACCAAGTGAGGTTCTTGGCTGAGGGGGATCTCAATACAAGTCCTAGCCTGCTGCTAACCGTTACACCCCAGTTGGACAGGTTTTGCCTGTTAATGCTCACTAGATTTGTTATCAAGCTGCAAGTTGTCATAATGATGGGCTTCGTGCACTGAGAAATGAAGAAACTCTGCATGTGTACATTTCATTGAGTGAATGTCCTATAGTTCCTCCTGGCTTTCCATTTTAGAGGAATGGAGGGACTGTGAGAATAGAGTACATTTCTACATGGATATCTGTGCCACTTAGTATACATAGTGGCAGGCATGATGATGAGCTCCTGAATTTACTTTGTGCTTATTACTTTTAAATTTCTGGTTCTGTGAACAGAGCCTCAGTTTCTTAAGCCTCTAAAGTTGAAAGGAATCCAGTGGGTTATGTTAAATCTTGAAACAGAGCCAGTGCTGTGCAAATTTGCATTGCCCCTAACAGCTAATCACTACTTACCATCACTACCAACCTTCCCTCAAATCTTCTGGGACATGCAGAAGACTCAGGAAAGAAGAAAGGGACATTCTCCTTAACACTGGGACTTGGAGACACTTTTAAATGGCAAGAAAGATTCCGGCTTGTACCAGGGAATTTGGGAGAAGGACTTTTTTTCCTCTGACCTAATATGACAGTGAGATCTGTTCCAGCCCTGACATCTCTGATACATAGAGGACTGGGGGAAGCAGAAGACACTCACTTTGTGGGTGGTTTGTGTTTACTACTAGCTGCCACATTTCTGGCTCCTTGAGAAGTAATTGCAGTATATCTCCACTAGACAACTGTTGGTTCTTATTAAGTGTTTTCAAGAAAGAAGACTTTCTAACTCTTGCTCTTTGCCTTTTTCCTTTGCTGATTTTATAGCTTTGAAGTCAAAGGCCAGTATTATGTTTTCTAGGCCTCAGACAGTCTTGTAGGGTTGTGTGCTACTTAAAAAAGCAGTTTGAAGATTTCACTGGGCTGGGAATACCCAAGATTTCTAGGGTGTGGTTTTGTGGAGGCATCTGGAATTTGCACATGTTTATTTATTTATTTAGGAAGCTTCTATGTCACATGTTGGTGACATGTAGATATTCTCACATGTTTTGAATGATCGTTTCTGTAGCATTGCTGAAAATGGAGTGGAAGTGATAGAGTTAATACTGTTTGTAAACATTTGACATACGAAAAGTAGAATGAATTGAGGAGGAGTAACTTAAGACCAGCAATATTCATAAGAGTAATATCAGTTTTTTCATTTCTCTTATCCCAGGAAAGTTGTTGGAAGTTTGTCAAAGGACTGGGTAAACATTGCTTTGTGTTGCTTTTACACAGACTCCTGCTGTTGCAGAAGTTTGCTCTAGATATATCTCTTTTCACTCTATAGATAGCTATTTAGATAGATATTTAGAGGATAACGGGAATAAAAACAAGGAAGATATTGCTTGGATATAAGGATGGCACAAGATCTGAGTGCTGGAGCTTTGTACAAGTCTTTAATATATTTCTTTCACCAGTTTTGATGGCGATGATTTTGATGATGTGGAGGAAGATGAAGGATTGGATGATCTGGAAAATGCAGAAGAGGTAAGAAAGTTTAACTTGTGATCCCCTGAGCTATGTAAAAATCATAACATGTACCTGCAGTGTGTGGGGGGTGGGGTCTAAAATGCTTTCCCCCCCTCATTTGTGTATATCTGTTGACCCAAAGATCTGATTCATGCTGTGAGAGTACATGTCTTCTATAACAAGTTAGAAGTTAAATTTAGAGAATAAGAATGAATCCTTATCTGTAATCTGGCCTGCATGATTTCAATGCATAGTGTGGATAGCTTTTCCTAAGCTCAAGTGTGGTGAGCACTTTAGAAAGTGGTTAGGAAACAGGTTTTTGTCTCTTAAGGAGCACATTAGTTCCAAGTTTACTTCCTATTTTCAACTATATGTATTAGTCAGATAAATATTTTCACCTAATGGGGTGCTCTCTTTCAAAGCTTTATTAATACCCTTAAGTTAATTTTTATAAGCTTGAATTTAATTCTGTATGAGCTCTCATGATTCATATCTAATATATATAACTGCACATTTCTAATTCTTTATGTTATGTAGGAGGGTCAGGAAAATGTGGAAATCCTACCATCTGGAGAGCGGCAGCAAGCAAATCAAAAGCGGATCACTACTCCTTACATGACCAAATATGAGCGAGCCAGAGTTCTTGGTACCCGTGCCCTCCAAATAGCGTAAGTATGTTTTTGCCCATTGTATTAAACAGGAATGGAGTAATGGCCAATGAAATTCTGTAGAAATCTTTTTTGTATTTAAATCTGTTTCCATCTGGGACCCCATCTGATCTTTCTTCTTTCCTTCTCCCTGGAAGAGGTGGTGTTTCAAAGACAAAATCTCCAAACTGAAAGGAGGAGCAGGTATAGGGCATTTGCTATATTCCCCAGAACTCTAGGCTTTCTCTCAAGAATGCATGTGTATCCAGCTTCCATTTGGCTTGGGAAAGTTCATCAGAAGTTTGTTCACATCACTTCAGTGCATAATACAAGAGAACTGTATCCAGCTTCACACACAGTGGATTTTTGGAAGAAATGCAATATGATTAAGGAGTGGCAGACACAAGGTTGCATCTATTGTAACATCTAAGGTGCCGTCATGTTCCCCCACTCTGAAAGCATTTTGTATGAGCATATGAAACTTCATGCCTGTTCTGTTACTCCTGATTATTGGTTCCTAGACAGTTTCAGTTCCTTATGTTCTGCTCAGGAAAAGGTATAGATCTGTGATTCTAATTTATTTGTGATCTTTGCATAACACTTAACTGTAAAAACATTCTTAAGCGTACATGAACAGTAAAATCACATTGAAAATATAATTAAAAATAAAATATTAAAAACAATGCCTGTTACTGTATCATGAATTTATTTTACTGTGAATATGAAAAGTAGGCCTATAGCTGTATCTAGTGGCTAGAGTCATATAGTGTGCTTAGTTCGATTTCTTCAAGTGTCAGAGGCAGTATATGCCTCTGAATGCCATTTGTTGGGAAACAAGTGCACAAGCATGCTATTGCTCTCATGTTGCACTTGTTCTCACAGCCACATGTGGGACCAGAATGCTTAACAGGATAGGCTTTTGGTCTAATTCAGCATAAGTCTTATTACATTCTTAAACTGTGAGTGTTTTTAGAATTTCATTGTGTCAGCTAATATGAGAGGTGAATACAGCAGTGATTGTTAGTACACTGGAGAAAGGGAAGCTTTAGGATGAGGTCCTGAAAGCACAGTGCTCCATGTGTGTTGCTTCATTTCTGGGGATACTTGATAAAGCCAGAGATTGTGCTTTCTCCTCATTTAACATTCTGAAGGTGTTGGAAGGGAAAACTTTCTTTCTCTGTTCAACATTAGGTATTTTGAAGCATTATTCAACTAGAAGTGGAGAGCTTTATCGTCCAGTGCTTGAAAATATTGTCTCTTTAGAGATCCAGGAAAGAACATAAAATCAGCACAATGCTCTTGAGCCTAAACAGTATTATCTCAAAGCTTTAACAGGTAAAAATTTGAATGTAATTCTTAGATACAGAAGTTCCCTCGCCTGCTTCCCTCTTAAATCAGTGGAAGTTCCACAGGGCAAACTTGCTGTCAAGATAATGTCCATGCCTGAGAACTGTGCCCCACGCTTTATTTGGTTTAACTATTTCTATGCTGTTCAAAAAAGGTGCTGCCACGGTGGCTTCTAAATTAAATCATGTATAGAATTTAGGAATTGCAAAAATATAATTGAAACTTACTAAACAATAACAGCAGGAATCATTAAATGGAATCAGCTACAATAGCAGCAAGTAGCAAGTATAAAACTGGACTGATTAAAAAAATTAACAGCAGGCAAAAGTTGACAAATTGAAAATGGACAAGAAAAAGAAATTACTTGCTGCATAAAACTCAGAAGAGATATTTCACTATTCAGTTTATCCTTATTACTGTAAAGATTAAGGATGCATTTTCTATCCTCAGCATGTGTGCCCCAGTGATGGTAGAGTTGGAAGGAGAGACTGACCCTTTGCTGATTGCAATGAAGGAACTTAAGTAAGTTGCAGTGATTCTTGTCATGTGCATGTGTGTGTGTTTTTACTTTAGAATGCCTTTTTCTCTCTAGCCCTATTCAGGTGTTCTACTTGTTTGTAGAAACAACATGTGAGCAGGACGTTTGAGGAGAAATAGTCTAGCTCCACTCCTTTCAACACTGTTCCTGATGCCTTGCACAAATTGGAGAAGCAGGTTCTACAGTGGGAAGCCTCCTCTAGTTAGGACTTCCCATGCAATTTAGAGCATGCTATTCCTGGGTTCTAAATTGCACTGGGAGCCTTCCTGAATAAGGAAGGCTCTCTACTGCAGACATTTGCCTCCAACACAGAAAGTGATAAGGATGTGGTGCCAGGGCAGTCAGCCCTGCTCTCACTGGACACTTGTAGATTCTACACATGCAGAACACCTGAACAGAGCTTCTCTTGGCCTTGAAACAGGAAAACTAAAACAAAGTATTTCTGAAAGCATTGTGAGAAATACAACTTCATTTCGTAAGTGTTCTTTCTCTCTTAATTAAAAGTAGGAATAAGTACGCTGTTGTTTCACTTAAAGATTACTTCTAGGATTTGTTTACTAATTTACTTATTTTAAAAAATGGCTCTACTGCTTTCTGATGGAAATTTCCTTGGTGGTAGGTTTTTGAATAGTTCATTTTTATAAAGAATGGCTAGTGTTCAGATTCTAAAATCTACAGGAATTAACTAATAGGCTTTGCCCTTTCCTCTATATATATGCAGATTTAGTGCATGTATTTTTTTCCCATTTATAACTAGGCTTTCTCCATATAATGGATCCCAGATCTGGCTTTCATTTTCTGCATAATACACCATTTCTACTCCCATGTCTCTGTAACTTTACAAAAACACATTTTTGTATATTCCCAAGCAGTAAAATACCTAAATGTTCTTTGCTATTTGTTTGAGCTGTATGGAAGCTATCACTGATTTGTTGATGCCCTCAACAGGAGATCATGATGAGGGTTTTGCTACCAGATGCCATTTGGGATATTACTTATGACCATAGTAATGAATTCTTGTGATTAAAAAAAAAAGAGTTCCATGTTTTTACTTTTCATGTGCTGCAAGATTATGTCTGATGTCCTGGACAAATTCCAAACAGCTAATTACATTGTTGACCTAAAAAGTCTTATTTAGGTTAAACTGGATTTGAATTTCTTTCCTTTCAATTCAGAATTTCTTTCTTTCCTGAATTGTTCACTTTTCCAAGAGGTTTTAACAGCTATTGTATTCCATGCAGAGGTGGGCCTTTTCTGTAGTTGATGAAGTATGTGAATGCTTCAACACTGTTAGGTAGGTGTGTTACAGATAGGCCAATTGTAGAGAACACTTGTTTTACTCCATGAGGTCTCTACTCAGTTGCTTCTTTGCCTGTTCTTTGGGAAGTTCCTCAGACAGGATTTGGCACTACTGAGTAGAAAGCATCTCTTGCCTAGCTTTGCAGGCATGGGAGTGAATTCAGTATTTTGCATGATAAATTTCTGTAAACTTTAAATGTGATATCACTTCAGCAAAGTACCCCTGCATGATGCAGTCAAAGTCCCCTCTTCTATACACATTTTTATTTTCTTTGCAGAGCACGGAAGATTCCCATAATTATCCGCAGGTACCTGCCAGATGGAAGCTATGAAGACTGGGGTGTTGATGAATTAATTATCACAGATTGAGTGGCCTCCCTTCTGTGTTCCACCATCTTTACAGCAGCTTTTAATTATTTTGTGTAAATAAATACTAAAACGGCACTGTTCATGGGTTTTTCTTGTTTGTTTTCTGTCAAGTTTAATTCTGAGGAGGAGTAATTTTTTCTCTTTCTGTCTGTCTTGGGCTGCAGCCACCTAAGGCTCAGCCTCCCATGCACCTCTTTCTTTTGAATCCAAGCTATTTTGCTTGTTGTAGCACTTGCAGAGCAAAATGAAGTCCCTGCTCCCTTTTAAACATTACATCTGTAACCTAGTAGAGGGAGGGCGCAAGAGAAGCTTCCTCTGTGTTTGTCTCTGACCATCATGTTATACCTAAGCAATTTCAAAGGGATCCTGCAGCTGCCAGACTTCAGATACCCTCTAAGGCAATTGAGAGACCCCTTACCCCCCTGACCTACACCCTTTTCTAGGGGCCTGTAGTAGAGGAGACATTTCTGTTGCTTGCCAGCAGACAGACATGTCTTTGTGCCTTGGAGCAAGTTGCCTTGGAAACCCCCAATTTCCCCTCTGATCAGGGCTGGTTCTGTGGGCTTCTCAGGAGTATCACAGAGCAACTCTCATCAAATCTCCCTTTGTTCACTGCTCCTGTCCTGGCTTCTTATCAATCAACAGGATCCCCTTACAGTGGCTGATCTGCAGCAGGAAGCATAGTTGCCTTGATGCATCTTTACTTAGTGAGGCCCTGCTTCAACATCTGTAGGTATAATTTGTGCTTTATAATATGGATGTACCTCTTTCCCACTGCTTCAGTACTGTCCCAGCTATAGCCTTGTTTAAACACATCTGGTTGTACCATTGCAGAGCATTACATGCATCCCTGAAATAGCAGGAAGAGAGATTCCTAATCTTTACCATAGTAAATGTATTTATATTGAGAAAGAAAGTCTGTTGGGGGCACCAATGGTAAGTGTTGTGGTACCTTAAGGATTAACAACTTTTTAATATGTCATTGTTTTGCTGTGATTTGGATGCAAATCTCAGATTCATCAGAGAGTTATGTACTGCATTAGATTCCAGATTTTTACTGATGCATTAAACTCTCATGCACAAATTGCATTTATTTGTACAGGACATTGGTATTGAAAACAACTAATTTTAAAGCAGCAGGCATCCGTTCAATACATGTTTAAAAATGCTACACTGCAAACTTTTAAAGACAGTAGCAACTTGTAAAAATATTGGAAATAAAATTAACTTAAGGACACAGTCCTGTGGCTTCGTGACATCATCCAGGAAGCCATAGGATTCTTCAGACTGAGGGCTGAGCCCCTGTCCTGCCTCTTTACAGTTGGTGTGGGAAAGGTTGACACTGGCTGCCCTCATCCCCTGAAGTCACAGCTGAGCAGGAGGATAAAAGGGGCAGGTCAGGAGGAGGCTGGAGCCATGGACTTAATTCCATTCAGTGTCACAGCCTCCCTCCCTCCTCTCCCCAGCTTTAGCTAGAGGTCTGCAAATGTCTTTCTAGAGAAAGTACCTGGCATGAAGTTCTGTGGTGATGGAGGTTGTCACAGCTGCATCTTATGCCAGGACAGGATGCATGTATGCATATATATGCCATAGGAGCAATAGGGTTGCACACTAAGTTGCTGACTAGAACTTAAACTTGAGCCCCGCTAGAGTTTCTTTGGCAAAAAAAGCAGGTGCCACAACAGAAATAGAGGTCTTGCCCTCTGCTTTTACAGGGTCCAAAGGTAAATGATAAGATACAGAACAAGACTTAATTTGTAGATTCCCCATGTGCATGGTGGTACATAAGGAAACAGGCACTTCCCAAGTTATGCCAGATCCTTACTTTAAAGCTGGTGCATTTAACCACTTATGGTTCAAAGGCCACACTCAATTTCAGAGGGTCTTGGGGTCTGTTCCAGTGATGGCTATTGCCAATAGCCAAGGTTGGTATGGTCAGAATTCTAGAAATGTGAATATATTTGAGTGATATGTTCTTTCTTAGAGTTGCTATTAGCTGGGCAGCTGCTTTCTGTCTACACAGACTCCAAGTGTAGAATTTCCAAATACTCATCAGTGGCAACATTGTTAAAATTGTCTAAAACAGACAATAATATTGCAGAGCTGATAGCAAAATTCTGGTCTGAAAGGAGGTATTGAATTGCTATCTGAAGCAGTTAAAAGATCTCTTCAACCAGGGTTCTCCAACCTATCACATAATGGGCATCCATTTAAAAAAAATTCTGGGTTTTTGTCAATATGAATACATGGATTTGTATCATATACAGTAACTATGTCTCAGCTTTAACACATGTTGACCAAATATCTCAATAAATATCCATTTGGAGTCTATATAGTGCCTGTTCAGATATTGAAAGTGTATAAAGACCTCAGTCAATTGAATTATCGGTGAATGCTTATCCTTCCGATCTGTAATCAGTCTTTTAGCTGTCAAACTGGTATAAAGATTCCATTTCCCCATGATTGTTAAATGTCCATGAAGAAATTAAAAAAGCAGTTACATTAATGAATGTTAAAGACCATGCCAGACCAACATTTATAAGGGTAATAGCCTCCTCCCCAAAGAAGTAACTATTGGACATTGTCAAAGCAACTTTTTAAATTAGCTGTATTGCACTGCCAGCAATTAGCTAAATTAAGCAATTGCTTATTAGGGAAATATTGCAGTGCCTAACAGTCATAAAATAAACGTTTTTGCTGTATAACATGCAGTTTATGATGCATAGACATGACAGGTAAATGCCAAAGCAGCAATCCATTGATCTGGCATTTTGTTGTAGTGCCCATAGTAGTTTCTCAAATTCCAAATTGTGCTTATGGGTCCAAAAGGTATACCACTGCTTAGACACTTCACCAACTGACCATTATGGAGTAAGGGAAGGTCAAGGGCTACTTCTTCATTGTGGAAGTGAACCTTTTGGGAAGAAGAGCCCATGGCAGAATGAATAATATTCTATCTGAAGGCCCTTGGTTTGTCAGCCATCAAAATCAATCACTTGTTAGAATTCAGTATCTGTAGATTGGTACTCATTTAGCTCATTATAATATCCGTGCATCTCAGGAAACCAACTGCTGCTGCTGAATAAATAAGTACTAGAGTTTCATCAACATACTTATAATACTACACTCCAAAATTTTGGGCAACCTCTCTTTGCAGCTTTTTACAGATGTTGAAAAGTGCAGAAATGGTGGAACTCTCTGTTGGGCCTTTTTCTGTAGAGCAGAAGTTTTAGTTTTCACGTGTGATTCCACATGGACAAATTAAGAGCAGAACCACTATAAACCACCCCTTTTGTTGAACTCTAGACTAGGATTTCCTTTCAGGACTGCTAACCCCTTCAACTGCACCTCAACCTTCTTCTTGACTACCTTGTTCCCAAGGCAACAACCACAGTAATATGGGTATATCTGGGAATGTCTTTTTCAGTTCATGACAGATAATAGTCTTCTTTGAAGTTGCAAACAGCTTTCCTTTTCCATTGTAGAATTCACTATAGATATTAAGAATTTCAGTCGGTCATGATGACCTTTCACTAGGCAATAAGGTGAAGCAAGTTGTTATCCAGTGAACTTGTCTATGGCCATATGTCTCATAATGGAAGTTAATCCCTAAAATGGTCTTCCCCAAGATGGCACCAATCAATGTGTTTGACTGTAACTCCCACCAAACCGAGTGAGCATGGATGCTTGGAGTTCTCATGCAAAACATCTGAAGGGTGTTAGGCCGGGGAAGTTTAACAAACAGATTCAGTAGACATCTCCACAGGCATTGAGTAAATAATAGTATTTATGTTAGACCAGATGCAAGTGACTGCAATCAGGAAAAAGTTGAACAAATTCATCATAGTTGCCTGGAACACAATGGTAAACCCAAGAGAAGTCTGGCTTATTGGAGTCAGTGAAGAAAAATTTACAGTTAGGTCAAAAGACCAGAACAGTTTTTAGTTCCAGTAATTAACCAGGCTACAGACAGCGCACACTGGGCATTTCAGCCTCCAGGGGAAGCCAATCTGAATTTATCATCACCACAGAGGTGCAGGATTTATAGTCTCGTGTCTTGACTAGGTAGTGATCTGTCCGGGGCAGCAACACAACTGAAACTTGGAAGTTGAGCACATGTTCTGCATACAAAAGGGCTCCGGTTCAATCCCTGATACCTCAGGTTGGGCTGGAAAACCCCAAAAGCCTTAGGCAGTACTGAGTTTAATTATCCATTTTTCCAACCTAAAGTAAATAATATAGTTCTTATATTCCTAATCCATGTGGCTAATACAGAAGAACTTGTCCCAGCCAAATTTCATACATTCAGGGTGAGGTCAAGGTGGATATTGAAGTGCTCCTGAAGAAAAAGCCACCACTATCACGTTACTTTGGAAATCCAATATGACAAGAGTGGAGTAACCTTTTTTCCGTTGTCCTTTGCATTTTCTTGGGAATATTTGTTGGGGCCCACATTCTTGCTGTGGGCAGGACAGAACCAAGTAGCAGACCATACACAGTCTAAAGTGAGCAAGCCACCCTCCTTTTTTTCTGCCCCTGCTTCCACACCCTCTTCTTTTCCTCTCGGCTTTTTCCAGAGGTCTAAATGGATTCATGACTTTTGAAATGAGGCTGATAACCACATGTTGTCCTGTAGCTACTGGTTGGCCACACCTACATTAATAATTTCTTCCAACATGCAAACAGAATTCCATGAAGAACACTGTGACTTTATTTTTATTTAAAGAGGGAACGGCTTCAGAGGCAGCTTTGTGAAATAGCCATTAAAGAGATAAGATAGCCAGCTGTCAGCACCAGCAAGCAGTAAAACTACAAGGAATATGTTATGTGCACACAGCAACCTTGCCAATAAAAGGTTAATCTGCAGAGTTATAGCTTGCAAGCTGCCTTGCCCTCCCCATTCCCCTTGGTGTTAAATCACGTTGGCGTGATGAAATTTCAGTAATGAAATGTGCCTTTGTGCGATCATTTTGGCATTCGTGATGGAGCACGGGAGTCGTTTTCTTGGTCCTCTTAAAAAAATAGCTTCTTTGTTTTAATGCTCCCTACCCCCACCCCGGGGCCCAAGCCTTGCATCTCTATCAGATACAATTAAAGGAATAGCTAAGGACTCCGGGCCACTCCCACCAGACTGCAAAGGGAATGTGCAGCCCCTTTATGTCCAGTGTAGAAGCTGGTGGGTACCGGATCCTGCTTTTGCTGTGAAGGCAGAAACATTGCTGCTGGCACTGACTTCAGCCAGCCAGTGACTAAGAAGCACATCACCACTCCCTGAAACAGCCTTCCCTGTGGGGAAAGTGGGGGGCACTTAGATTAGGCTGGAAGGATCTCTTTGACCATCTTTGCTTTTGTTTTGTTTTTTTTGTTTGTGGTTCCTTGTTACCTTTCAGCTGTGGCAGTCAATTTTTGGTAGTTTGTCATGTATGCATTTCCCTAACCCAGATCTCAAGATATGCTTCCCAAGACCTAATGTTAAAGCAAGATTTGGAACATCACTCTGCTTTTAGCCTCCCACCCCCCACCCCATTGACCATGTTTTCATTTATTTTTTGGAGATTATTAGAGGGCATGTCTTCATGTACACTTAACCATAAAGTCATGCCCTCTTAATTTGCTGTATCCTTGTGGATTTGAAAAGATGAAGTTAGATCTGCTAATTTGCCTGTGTCTTCAAAGAAGACTCTTTTCCCAGATCCTTTACTAAGGCAAGATGGTTATATAGAAATAAGGGAAAAGGCCTTCTCAGTGGTGGCACCAAGACTTGGGAATCATCTCTCTAAATGCAGTGGGCACCAACACAACCATCTTCCCAGCCCAGCACCAAATTAAAATTTATTTGCCAAAGCATTTTCAATTTTTAAAACTAGTTTTTGCATAGTCCACTCTGCAGTTTTTATGTCTCTGGTTTATTTTATCATAATAATTTTTCCTGTTGCATTGTATTATATCCGTGGTCTCTTGTATACCACTTTGGTATGTTAGGATGAAAGACACTATGAAATACTTCTACTAAATAAATAATAGTCTGCCAGAAAAGTTTACACCATAGTAGCCCAGTTAAGGTACAATCCAGTATCCACTCACCTGGTAGCAAGCCCTAATTTATAAGATTATGCTATTGTGTTTTTGATCCATAGTCAGGGAAGTGTTAAGAGTCAAGCAGTCACTGCCTTTACCCTTTCCAAATTAAGCAGGAACTTAAGTTCTGTCTCATCTTAAGTTCTGTCTCCAGCTGAAGGTAACTGAATGTGTGGATCCCACTCCTCTAAGGCTTTTTCACTAAGATCCAAGAACAGTTCTTAATGTGTGCCGTGTTCTTTCTCTTTCCTGTCAACCTATTGCTTTGCAATTCTGTTGCTTCTCTTCCTCTTTGGTACAGCATTGAGGCAGGTTACCTACCCTACTTAACTGAGACAGGCTTCCTACCCTACTTTCTGTTGCCATGAGGAAGGTACAGCTCAAATAACTTCATCTGGTTGAGTATTTAAAACATTGGAACTGAAAGGATCCCCAGTTTGCGGGACAAGAGCCAAAGATTCCCATTAAAATCAGTAGGGATAATGTCACGCCAAACACGTAACCTACTCACCCACTGAATTTTTGCATGTGCCCACACACAGAATGATTAAATAGTGTGCTCTGCTGTGCAAAACGTGGCATTTTCTAACTCTTCGATGACCTCTGGCTATGTATCTCCTTTTCTTACTTTGCTGCCCTTGGTCTTGTAAGCAGCTATTTCAAAGTGAAGAAAAGATGTGTCATCATCTTGAAAGAATTGCTGCAGGACCATGAAAGTGATGGAAGCCTGTGGAAACCATGCTTTGAGCTTCTCTTGGCTGCTATGCAGCATGACAACTTAAGAGATCAGAGGGTCTTCCAGGATAGTGTGGTGGTTTGAAACAAAGGAACTATGGTTTGAAATGGAAATGTTGTGGTAAGGAGGGAAGAATGGAATACTGCTGCTGTAAGTGAAGGTTTGGTGGTGCTACATGTGCTTTTGTTAAAGATTCAGTCTTAACTGATGAAAGAGGCAAGTCTCTGAGTTTGCACCAAGAAAAGAATTTTAAGTCAAAATAAATTCTTAAAGGCATTAGGAAAGTGAAGAAAAATAGATGATTGTCTCTCTCCAGCTATTACTAGAATTGTAAAGTTACCCAGTGAACTTGACTGAGAGTAAGTTCACAGAAAGAATACAATTCATAATTAATTAAAGGCACAAGCCTATGCATAGGAAGGAAGGAAGGAAGGCTGGCTGGCTGGCTGCTATAACTCCCAGCATTTCTCCAACTATGCATTCTGGCTAGGGAATGCTGGAGGTTTTAAGACTTTTTTTTGGTCTGAATATCTGAAAATGCACAGGATTGTGTCTCTACTGAATTACTTCCCACCAAAGACCATGGATGCTCTTATGAAAGGATTAGGTAGTCTTGGGAAATTGCCATATCAGTTGCCATTATCCCACCAAAAGCTAAAAGGGTGCCTCCATATACAGAAGCAGTTCATTTTGGATTACCACATGAACTTGAATGAAAGATGCTTCACGTTACTGTTGGGCCTTGCTTGTGAACTACCCAGCAACATCCAGGTGACCATGGCTGGAAACAGAAGGTGCACTCTAGTCTATGATTGTGCATGTTTATTAAGGTAGGCCCCTGACCTTATCCAGGAAAGCAGTTCATATGTTCTGTTCATGTTCTTTTAACAATGCATAGGACACATATATGTGATCAAGTAGATTATATATGGAGTGTAGGAACGGTATATTCCTCTTTCAGCCCCTGGGGGCAGGGGCTGTGAAAATGAGAGCAATAAGAGGAAACAAATTGAAACACATAGCTGAAAGTTTTAAGTTTATTATTCCATACATTTGATGCAAAGTTAATGGTGCTAGGACAACACAGGGCTGTAGCGCTGGGGACAGGGAAGGACGTGCTACTTGCATAAATAAGGGTTCAGAGCAGTTAATAGATTACATGCATACAAGCGGTACAGGCATACTACATCTCCTTTTCAAACGCCATGGAGAAGCATAATCATCCATAGCCGAAAATGGAGGCAAGCATAATATAAAGTTCATAACTTTGGGCAGGTTAGCCTCAGCCATCTCAGTTCAAAGGAGTTGGGAAGAGCAGCACATACTCAGCCTATACTGTGGCTAGTAGTGGGCCCATCCTCATGGACTTGCACAGCACCTCTATGTCACTATGCAGTATTCATGCCACCATGCTCTTACTCGTGGCCAGGGCTGGCCTAAGATGTTTGACTGCACGAGGCAAAGGACAAGGTGGGGCTTCCCTCCCCACAGTTCCATGTGCGGAAGACTGGTCTTTGAATCTTTCTTCAGCACCGGAAATGGGACTGCATCCTCCACCGCACCTTTAAGGAAGCACACAGCAGGTCGTGTGGCACACGCTCTCCTCCTATGCCTCGCTGCCACTCTGTCTAATGGTAAGGCCTGGCTTGGTGATGGAAGCCTTCAAACTGACATGCTTGGCAGCCCTGAGGCCAATATTGGTTTTGGAAACTGATACAGACAAGCAAACCCTCACACAGGGCCACAGAGAGGAAGAAGGCAGGCCTCAGCCTAGCTGGAGTGGTCACTTCTATTTGAAACCTCAAAAGGGAATGTGAGTTTATTTGAATTGTGCATAGCCAATTCTGTCTGTCTGTCTTCTAATGCCTGCTTAACATGAGCAGCACCAACAATGCCTTCCTCGGTGTAGCACAGGTAAAATTTAACACAGTGATTACAAACATGCTGGCTCTTTCATTAAGCAGGGCAAGACAGCCTCTCGTTCACAGCAGATTTTAGAGAACAATTAGGGGGCAACTACTGGTCAACTGTTTTACTTACTATACTTTTACCATCGTTGCGAGTTCCTCTACATGAACCATTTAACCCAGAGTATTATCAAGGCTTCTTCCTCCAATTTTCTTGATGGGGAAAGAAGGAAGAAAGTCCTTTTATGCAAGATTTTTTTGTCCAGGGTTTTTCCTCTGTGCTTTTTTACACGTTCCTATGTGTCCCATTCCACAACACAAGGGGGCACTATGGTAAATTTAGATTTTATACAAGGTTTCCACATCAGATAATGGCATAATCCATTACATTAATGGCATAAATATTACATTATGCTTGCTCTATAAAAGCTGCATAATTAGCTGGAAAACACAAGAGAAGCCTTGCGAGGAGGAGGATGTTGTGTCAAGGACCCACATACTTCCTTGAGTGAGGAATCACAAGTGCACAAAAAATGCCTCATGTAGACAAACCGTGGGAAGTACCATTTGAATCTTCTGCCACTGGCATCAAAATGCCTTGAAGCGCATGCCAGTGAAGATCCAACAGCTAAAGCTGCAGTCCTGTGTTGTGGCATGTTTTGGCATTTATTTAAGCAAGCAGGAGAACCACACGACTGTTCTAGTTAAAAAATGCTTTCTGCCTTCTCTCATTCCCCTCTGCACATTTGTGTGTGCCAACACACTTATAAGCATGCCAGAAGGTTTTGGCAGGTTATCTTCTGGAGTATTAGACAGTAGCTGGGGGAGTTAAGAAGGAGACTGCAAAGTGTTGGAAGCAAACTAGGAATACAAAATGTTCATAACAACAAAGTAGGATTCAGTCCCCTTTGCCTTTTATGGTCCAAGGGACCAACATGTACACACAAGCTTACATGCTGGGATGCAAAGGCAGTCAGAGCATATAATGCAGTTCCTGAGTCCAGTGTACTGTGTCGTTAAGTCTTAAGAGAGCCAGGCAGCAGAGAGGTAATGGGGTGAACAAGGGAAAGTGGAACACTGATGCCAGATATCAACAGGAAAAGCACACATAGGTTGGTCTTCCAATGGGGAGCACAATATATGCATGTGTGATTCTGAAGCTGGAATGTCCTAGAGCACTGTCCACATCAGCTGCACCACCCGACTTCTCCTGTAACATATCCACCAGGGTGCCCAACGAGCCATGCTTCACCCTTAGCATGTGGCAAAGTCATGGCCATTTGTTTCTTTCTAAACCATCAGAGTGATGGTCTGGACAGCTTGAGGGTGGGAAATAGAAGGGAGGGGATAATCGTTCAATTGTGTTGTTATCATTATTGTTATTATTGTTATTACTATAATTATTATTCTTATAAACCCTCGATCTGCCCAACAAAAACCCACCATGACTAGTTGCTCCATGCCTAGAATCGCCCTCATCTAGAAGGCCTACGGGATCTTGGAAGCCAATCAGGGACTGGGAGTATGAGGGATGGGTGGGAACCTTCCTCCAGCCAGGTGAGCCATCGATAACTGTGGTCATGATAGACACGCCCGGATTTTCTGTGGGTTCTGGCGTCTGGATTGCACCAAATGACCTCTGAACTCGGAGGCTCGTCTTCTGGGGCTGATTCTTCGGAGCCTTTCCGCTGCTGCTTCGGTCACTGCTCCCCATTCCCTAGGGTCTTGAAAGGGTCGTATACACAGGCTGCTCCCAGTGTGTGGGACTATGAGATTGTGGCACTGAGGGTGCCGCGTCAGAGATGGCAGTGTATAGGGGACGTTGGGAGGGCCCCATATATGAGAAGGCCGAGTAGAGGCCAGAAGCCTGACTGGAGTGGCTGTAGTAGGGTCCTGAGGGCTGGTGGTCAGGGTAGTCGAACTGAGGCCTGGATATAGAGGGAAAAGCTGAGCCATAATGGGGCAGACTGAGGGAGGTGTATGCTATCTGGGAAGTGGAGGGCTGATCAGCATAATGGCCCGCTGGAGCAGAGCTCTCTGTTTTCACTTGCGCCTTGGAGTCTACCACCGATGATGTGGCAGCAGACAAGGAGACGCCATGCTGTTTGGAGATCCAGGCGGAGTGTCCACTGGCTGCAGCCAGGGCACTCCCAAGGCCATAGCCAGCAGCTGCGGCATAACCCCCAACGTGGCCTGGGTGAGCAGCATGTCCATTTGGTGGCAAGTACTGGTCAAACTCGTTGACATCGAAGGGCTCCATGTTGGACATCACTTCATGGCTGATCTCCCCAATATCCACATTGCCAAAGTCGATGTGTGGCTTTCCTCCTTCCCCAAGGGAACGCCCCTCCCGCTTGGAGTCAGCCTTACCCGCCTGCAATTCTGTCTTTGGAGTGGTTGGTGGCGTGGGGGGTCCATGGCTCTGACCTGTGAGATGGAATCCACATGGAAGGAAATAAAGAGAGAACACAGGAATTACCTTTCTCGTGGCACATCTATTTAGGCTTCATATTCCTGGAATATTTTGGCCGGATTATATCCAGAGCTGACCTTCTACAGTCCCCTTCCCCAACCCACTACCCTCCAGATGTATTGGACTGCAATTCCTATAATTCCCAGCCAGCATGCTACACAGACCTGATTGAGTTGTGGGCATTCTTATAGTGAGCCTGGATAGACATGGTGGGCATGTTGTGAGCAGAGCCGGCTGGTGCCGGAGGTCAGATTAGATGGCCCGGGAGGCCCCTTCCGACTCGCTCTGTTTCTATGTTTCTGAGTCATTCTTCCTAGTGCCGTTAGTGTAGAGGCAAAACTTAGCAAAAAACCTAGGTGTAATACCCAACATGGCAGCTGGGTGTAAAGTGAGAAATGGAAAGTTGGTAACCAGTAAAGCAAACACGCATAATCAAGGTGGCATTCCTATGTCGATAGCAAAAGCAAGCACAGGTTGGTCTTCCAATGGGGAAGAACATTTCATGCACACATGATTATGAAAGTGGGAATGGGCTTTGGCAATGATGATGAACTATGAGTCTGCTATGTTGTTAAACTCTCTTGTGCCACGTTTAAATACGTAAGCTTCCCTCAAAAGTGTGGCTTTTGTGATGCTACCCTACCATGTTCAGATAGCTGCTGATTTCCCAGGTCGTTGGAGTGAATTTCTGAGTAGCTGAGGATCTCACTGTTCCTTAGCTGTGTTTATGTCACTCACCTGAGGAGTGTTCGGGGTGCCCGTCAGACAGGGGGGATCCTTCCCCAGAATGCCTGTGGTCCAAGTGGGCATTCTTATAGTGAGCCTGGATGGCAGCTGCTCCACCCGCTTCTCCATCAGCTTGGCCATCAGTTTCACCCTGGGCAGCTTTGCCATTTTTCCGCCGACGTGGCTGGTACTTGTAATCGGGGTGGTCCTTCTTGTGCTGCATCCGCAGCCTTTCTGCTTCTTCGATGAAGGGTCGCTTGTCACTTTCATTCAACAATCTTCAGAAGACCAGAAAGAGTCAGGAGCAGGGTTAGAAGGTGAAAGACAGGTTTGTTAAAAGTAGAGCCACAAAACATCAAGGCCATATCAACTGGTAATTCAACCCCATCAGATATCACAGCTTTGGAGAGAAGAAGAGCAAAATAATGTTCTGAAAGTTGATTGGTCTTAAGTTTCCTTTTACTGAGTCAGACCCTTGGTCCATTCAGTGCCCAGGATTGTCAACACAGACAATAGCAGCAATGGTTATCCAGGGTTTGAGGAACAAGTTTTTCTCAGCCCAGCCTGGAAATACTAGGGATCAAACATGAAATCTTCCACATGCAAAGCATAGGTTCTGCCACTGAGCTACAGCTACTCGCATGGCCATTGACTATGCTAGCGAGGGATGATGGGGCTGCTGCCTAATAAATCTGAAGGACGCCATGTCGGGGAAGGCTGAACTGCCAGGCACTCGATGCTCTGGCACTCGATGCTTGTAGGCGCAGAGAGTTCTTCCCTATGTTAGTCAGTCATATCCTCTACCCAGCATGAGAAGATTGGCATTTAGCACATCAGTAAAAATGTTTGCCTTCAATACCATCTTATCTAAAATCCACTAGTATAGACAAATGGGTCGTGTGAACAGGCTCTTCATACATATGTTTTTTCCTATGGAGTTCTATGACTTTTTTGTAGCAGAACTTCCAGTGACTTGTAATGTTTCTTGAGGGGTTTAATAGAGCAATACGACAGATTCCATGGTGATGTGGCATATTCTGTACTTTGTTTTTTGTGGTTTTGGGAGCTGTGCAATTTGGAATTTTTGGGGTCTCTGTTTTCTGGACTCAGCTTCATTCTGTTTAACAGGCACTGCTTTATAAGATGCTATTTTGGGGGAGTAAGGAAAAAAAAACATAGCACAGCCTTGTTGAACTCTGGATGAAAGGCACTATAGAAATGTAAAGTCAGTCCTGTAGCATTTTGACTTTTCTCCAGTTAGGACAGGATCATACTGCTCATCACATTAGATGTAGGCTGAAGAAAATTTCATACCTTTTATGCTTTTCAGTAGTTTGCTGTGGCTTTTTCCCTCCCTTATAAAAGGTATTTTTTAAGCCTAATATAGGAATGGCCAGCTCATGCCCCTGAAATATTTATCTAGACCCCGGATAGTCTACCTGATTTTAATGAAGATGTCTGTTGCCCATTTCACATATAAGGGATAGAAAATAATTTCCAAAGCTGTGTGTGAGGAAAGCTACTCTTTCTTGAGAAGCTCAGGGTCAACATACGTGCGTACATACAGGGTCTCCCACTCCCATTTCATCTTTACAGCAACTCTGTGAGGTATACCATACAGAGAGAGGAGCTGAACCAAGACCCGCCTCCAATAAACTCTGTTTAAGTAGAGAATTTAGGGTGTCCGTGTGACCCCTTCCACAGAAGAGGTCCACTATTTGATGACCAAGCCCAGTTTGAAGATAAAAAGCCATTAGAAGGGCAAGCCAGTAGGGGCCGCGAAGTTGCCAGCATCTGATCATAGTCTTCTGCTGAGACATGCGAAATGTCTATTAAAATTAAAATAATTCCAAATTTGCACCTAGACATCTAAATCAGGATATGCAAATTTTATGCAAAGCCATGGTCTTTTTTTGTCCCCTCTTTTGGTGGTTCAGAAGTGGCTACACTAGTGGAAATTTGGCTCTGGAATACCCACATATAAGCCCAATACTAATCACAACATGACACTGGTTCTTATTGCATTATAATACTCTTAAGGGTTTCTCCCCATCTTTCTTAGGGGAATGCTTGGTCAGCTCTGGATACATTCAAGCTTTGATGAAGCCTTTACTGTATTCCTTACATGACATGGGCCAAGTTCTACCGAAAGATTCCACTTCTGGCCACTGGAAATAAACTGCAGTGGCCTGACCCAGAAGCACACAAAAGAGGGCCACCCCTCTTCTATGCATTCAGTATCTTTTTGGAGTCTGCAGTGGAGACTCCCAAAATGGCCAAAGACCTTTTGCTGTCTGGGATGAAGGATCAGTGAGGAATTCTCCATGCCGCATGCAGAATTTCCCTCCACTGGCAGTGACTCTTACTTCAACAGTGGCACTAATGGCAGAGCTGGCCTGAGTCAATGTGAGGACAGCAGTATGTCCTCCACATTGCCTGAAATAGGTTCTGGGCTGCTGTTCCAATAAGAACATCCTAGTTCACTTACATTCTAATCAAACCTTAGTAAAAAGTAACTCTTCTGCTGTCCAGTGAGAGAAAAACTTATGGTATGATAGCCCACCCCCAACCCCCACATGCACACGCACGAAGTGACAAGTCCCTTTATCGCTGTGGCAGCCTATGGAATGAGCCTTTCTCACTCCTCTTTATTTAACGCTGAGAGAGAGGGGGGGAGGGAAGGGGAGGGGGGGAGAGAGAGGGCTCTCCCTGCAGTTTTGGCTGCTGTCACTAAAGCAGCTCACAGAGGAAAAGGAGGGTTGTTGTGACATGATAAAAATTGCTCCCAAATTTGCTGAGAACTTCAAACTGGCTTACTGTCTCTAAATATTTGCAGACGGCTCCATTCCCGCACCCCCCCCCCATGTTAATCAGGATTTAGCCTGCCACCTCCAGTCTCCTATCTATGGCAACAATAACACACATAAAAGAAGCAGGTGCACCAGGGCTGTGAGGACATTTCCTATAAATAAAACTGCAAAGACTGGACTTCATCAGAGCCAAAGGCTTTAGCCCTAGTATCTAGGGTCAGTTTTGGAACACATGAGGCAGCAATTTATTAGGAATGCAAGTCCTAATTGATTCAGTTGGGAGATTAATCAACTGGTAGATTAATCACCGAAAGCTTTAGCTGCTAACCAGTGTGAGCTAATTTTAATTGCATATGGATGCTAGTTAATGAGATGCTTTTTACTTGTTCTGGAGTGGTATACAAGATGGGATGGACATCCATTCTAACTGCTTATGTTTATTACAGTGTAAGTGCTATTTCACATCTTTCACAATCTTTATTTATTTGGCTGCCAAACTATACATCATACATTTTATTTATTTATTTATTTTTCCATTTATATCCTGCCTTTTTCCTACAAAGGGCTCAAGGCAGTTTACATCATCTCTGCTCCTCCATCTTATCCCCTCAACAACAACCCTGTGAGGTAGGTTGGACTGAGTGTCTGACTGGCCCAAAGTCACCCAGCTGGCTCCATGGCTGAGCAGGGACTAGAACCCAGATCACCTGAGTCCCAGCCCCATGCTCTTAACCACTGCACCACACTACATGACAGTGTCTATGTCATTTTCTTCATGTCCTTGGAAGTATCTACTTCGGAATAACTCAAAAAGGTAGCATTGCTGAGGTTTAGTAATATCTCTGGTTTATTAACTTTGGATTGATTAACTAATGGTACATTCCTTGGGGGAAGGCTTATGGTTATTGGGGCTGATTCTGTTGTGCAAGCAGGCCTGCTCCTTTTCCAGTTCCTGCCTGAGGTGCTAGATCCCAACTGGTGGGTTCCAGTAGCACTTCCACAGAATTAAATACTGCCCCTCGTTATCACAGCCTTCCCTGAAACAGGTGAGCATTGGTATAAGGCTTCCAAAATGGCTGCCTTTCTACTTTGAACCAAAAAAGGAAAGCAGATCACAAGCCCAGTATTGTACACCATCTCGTCATCATATCCATCAATTGCTGGCTAGGAAATCTCTTATGGGCTCTCAAAGTTATAAGGATAAAAGTCCCATAGGATAAAATGTAAGTTCAGTGGCATGCCTAAAGATATGAGTTAGTACTGCTTTCTGTTCCTTGGGACAGTGCATGCCCAACTTTCCCCATTTTTGTCCTACAATTTACTACTGTACTTGCCTCTACTTTGAATGCTAAGGCAGTTGTTGGTTTTGCTCCTCTGCCTAAATGTCACATGGACTATCCACCTATTTTATTTTATTTTATTTTATTTTATTTTATTTTATTTTATTTTATTTTAGGTTGTTGGAGCACCACCTGTACATTTAGGTCATTAGGGTTGTCCTTAAATGATGGGTTGCTCACACATGGGTTCTCGTGTTGCCTGAACCCAGCAAAGATAACAAAACTTGGTGAACAAGCCACAGTTCAACAACCCAATGAGAAATGCTCGGTTCTCTTCATGGGCAGCTCTGGGTTCGGAAAACACAATAACCCACATTTCAACGACAGCCTGCACTCAACCCATACTCAGCATACCTAGCTACTTTTGCATTGCTTTTGTTATATTGCAAAGGTTCTTGGAGAAGGGGGTGAGTGGGTATGACATCATAGCCATCAGCCAATCAGGCTTCCAGCCAGCCCAACCATTTTTTCCTGGGCTGGGTCTGGCAAGGATTTTGCACATCTGACAGCAATATGTCTCAGAGTGTTTAGAGGTACATCTGTACATAGTCATACCCTTTAAATATGCTAATTAATACATCCAATTTACAAATTCATAATCTGTATAGCTTTTAACACTTCTAGATCTCATTTTGTGCCATTCCTATCTTGTAACATGGACTATCTTTTGGAAGGAACTGTAGCTCAACGGCAGAGACCCCAGATTCATCTCCAACCTCTCCCAGCAGGGCTGGAAATCCTGGCTTGAAGTCTTGAAGACCAGCTGCCAGCTATAATCAGTGGTGATACTGGGCTATATGAACTAAGGGTCTGAATCAGTTTCCTGGCAGCTTCCTATGTTTTTGGTTTTTTTAAATTCCCTCGCCCCTCACTGCAAACTGAGCTCCAGATTGAATAAAAAACAAACAAAAAATCCCCGAGATGTCTCTCTCTTGGGATGACATTTCCAGCCAAACTCACAAGCAAAATAATTTCATTTCATTTGTTGCATTTCTGTATTGTCCAATAGCCAAAGTTCTCTTGGTGGTTTCAAAGATCAAAACCTTAAAGTTCATTATATTCATCATCCATATAAGATCTTTAGTTGAGGTTTTGAGGAGAGTTGAGCTGAGGATTTCTAACTTAGCT